CTGAGTCAAGGACTGTCCCACCGCCGGCACCAAGCAGGCCGCCTGCGCTGCCCGCCATGATGCAACCCGGAGGATGGGACGAGGACCAGAGCGACGACGATGACGTAGACGAAGAAGAGGAGAAGAAGCGGATTAGCAAGGCAAAGGGGAAGCAGAGGGCGAAGGGGAAACCGGTCTCGCGGCCGCAGACGACGGGAACCGACGACGGTCGTACCCAGTACATGTCCAGTACGGGTGCGCCGCCGGTCGCTCCTGAAGGTTGGCCCGAGGACGTACCGCTACCGGCCAACTCGCTGGTGATACACGCCGGACAATGGCACAACTTCATCCCCCGCCACGACGTGGACGGACGCAATCTGTTGCGCGTCGCACAGGCCGGGGATGAGGAGGCCGCTTTCCGGGTCCGGGACTTGATCCACCAGACCCACGACGACGCGGGCCTGCGATACGTCGACGGGATGTATCACCTCGTGAGCAACTGGCGTCCTCCGCGCGCGACTCCGGTCATCACGCCCACCAGTGGACGTGATGCCGAGATTGACGCGGATGAGGTCCGCAACATCGAGTGTGCCGTTCGCGAGAGTCGAGAAGAGGAACGGAGGCGAGCAGCTGCACCACCAGCGGGAACCCCTGGTGCCGGATCCTCTGGCAGTCGGACGACGACTACCGTACCCACGTCCACTGCCAGTGGTCCACCGGCTTCGTCAAAATCGACGAAGCGTCGCGCTGACGCCGAGGCAGGCAGCCATATGCGTGCGCCGCCCACCAAGAAGGCGAGACTGCCGCAGCCTGACCCTCAAGACCCGGTCAGTCGATGGGTGGATTGGTACCGCCTCTACCCACACAACATACCCGATGGGGTGCGTGTAGAGGACGGCGAGCCTAACGTCGACGATGCCGAGGCGGTGCATCTGATACGCCGCCTCGCACCTCGATCCCCCAACGGACGAAGGCCTTGGGATATCGTTGTCGCTCAGCTCTTCTCCATTGAAGGGCTGTACGGTCTCATCGTCGAGAACGGACACTATCCCATCGGCGACGGACGAGCGACAATCCCGTACGCGTGGAACGCCTCCAACGCTACCATCTATGATGCAGCGCGGTGGTTCGCCCGCATGGGTATCCAGCCCGGCGAGGCACAGTTCCTCACGGACTACGCTCGGCGACGCCGCAATATTCACGAGAGCCGGCCTCTGGATGAGGGTGCCCCTTTCAGCACCTTCCCCATGAGTCCGGGCGACGTCAACATCGTGGACGTGCCCGATATCGCGCAGTTGCCGGCAATCCCGCCTACGGTGCACATCCCGACAACGGTTGTGGATGTGCCCATGGGAGACGGCCAGGCTGAGGAGAACCCCCAGCCTGCCGCGGATGCACCTCCTCCTGATGAGAACCACCCGGGGGATGGTCCTTCTGGCCACTCTGACTGATCGTCTCGATCGTCAGGCTGCTCGACACGTACCATGTCGTCGCTGTACCCCGCACTTACGGGCGCGTTGTACTTCTCGATCACGGCGTCGCGAACATTCCCGTCTCTTCAATTCCGTCCGCAATAGACTTACTGGCCGGCGCGTCGCTGGCGCCTTCACCTCATCATTCCTCTCACCGCGCAGGCTGTCGCCGTCGGCACTCACGTCGTCGCCGTCGTCATCCTGTCGCTTCGCCTCATCATCACGGTCCAATGACCTTATATATTCGCGCATACTCTACTATCGTGGACCCGTGGACGAGTCCAGGGAGGAGGAGTGTAACGGGACGTTACCGTATGGACGTGTGTAATCCCGTTATGGACTTATTGGATCGATATGCTTGTATGTATATACATTTGCGTGTGTTTGGCGTCGTACCTTTATAGGTCGTCGCCCGGCGAGTTGAAGGAGAAGTCCTTTAAACTCGTCGTCCTCCGGATACATCGCACTTCTCAATGGAGATTGGTGCACTGTATCTGCGGGATTGAGTAAGGCAACGTTACAGTATCATAGCTTGAGAAATCTGTGTATGTGTTCATTTGCTAGTAATGTGAGCTCCTTGGTTGAATTGTGAGGTGCCCACATCAACTGCCCACCTAACAGATTTAGCAGAATATTGTTACATATATATGTTGACAGTCACATGCTATGGAATCACATCAGGCTGAGGGATGATGAGAGTAATGTGCATGAGCATTTCAGTATACTGTATCAAGAAGGTTGCAAGATATATGTGACTTACTAATTTTCACAGCATGAGCCACAGGTTATGAAGAGGTATCATGAGTGCACCAGTTGACTTGAACAGACTCTAACATTGGAAAGTCTAGGCCAAGGTGGTATAGATTTGGATCACTGTCATTATTGGGTTAAATAAACACTCCCTATGCATCTTCCCTGATATGAGTGTCCTGCTATGCAAGTAGTATCATTGTTCAGTGATTTGAGAGAGTACATAATATTTCAGACATGGTGAACCAGGACAGCTTAGCTACAGTTGGGAAAGAACAAGTAACATGTGCAGTCATACATATCAGGCTGTATGTGCACTACAGATGAGAATCTCTAGGATACCCAACATTCAGGATTCAATGCTCTTGTGTCTTGTGTTACTGCAATGAGGATGATGAATTGAGCACTATGACTAATATAATATTGCCTATGAATTCAATTTGGCTTGTGCAAGGTTATTGTTATTGTCACAGTTTGACCACTGCTTTGTCTAGTAAAGCATGTAAGGCTTGAAGGTAGTGACAGAAGGTGTTTGGTCGGATATATAAATTCAGACCTTTGCACCAAGGAATAGGTTGGTCCTGAACAAGGACAAACTTCTTCCTGTGTTCTTTGGTAGTTAGCTAAGGCTATGGGCAATAGTATTGAGTATATAGATATTACTCACCTTGAGTAATATCTAAGAACTGAGTTGAGTATATAGGAAAGTATATGACTTGACTTTCCTAATATGGGAATGGACTTGTGTACTGAACTCACACCCTTGGTTAGTTATGACTTGATAACTGATTATCACTCTTTCATAGTAAACCTGAATGATATACTAACCTACTTGTTGGCTAGTTCTTGAACTGTCTTGCTATTCCAGTAAGCAAAATTCACACAGAGCCACAGTTTGGCTAATTAGAGATAAGCAGATTTGTTATTGAGAGTAAGTGTGGGTAAGTAAACTGGCAGAGTATCAGTACTATGCAACTGCTCCAGGATAGGCAGGCACCCGCCTTATATACCCTGGAGTGCAGAATTTGGAACAATACAACTATGTGAACAAAGGGAATCTACCTATTGTATCCAAATTGGTCTATCAAAAGAACAATGTACTTGATGAGAAACAAAAGGGAAGTATTGTCTTGATTTACCTATTGTCCTATTGTTGTGTATTCATTCCCAAATGAGTCAGATTAATCAAGTTTTAGTCCATTGTCCATTTCAGAGAGCATGAAAACAAGATAGCAACAAAGCAACGAGAACACAGAAACACTCTATCTATGCATAAAATCACCCATTGCCATCCTTATGCAAAAGCCACCTCATCCATCATGTTGAGCATCTCGACTTAGGAGTCGATCACGTTTGATTGTCAAGGTTTTTGCGTGTAACGAAAATGTCATATCAGTATAAACTATTTACCCCATTGGTCAGTAGTCAGTCTCTCAGATGAGTATGAGTCAATGCATTTGGTTAAGTAAGATTCAAGCTGTGTATTAATGAGTTTCTTAGAAGGCCAAAGACACAGACAATCAATTGGGATCGTCCTGCCATACATAGCCTGCTCCCCAGCAAGTTCCTTACCCAACAAATTGACTGCAGGCTGTATTCAGACAGACATTTGACTTGGTGCTATAATGCTCAGGCCAGTGAAATACAAGCTGTCTGTTCTGAATAGCCTCAAGTACAGACTTGTAATCTGGGTAATTGTATCTCACAAACTTGGTATGATCTGTGTGTATGTAAGAGTAGGTGTAGCGGCTTGAAAATATACTGGGTGTGAGCAAGTTTGTGAGGTCTGACAAGTCTGATGGGCAGTCTGAATGAGTCTGAAAGGTGACCTGACATCAGACATCATGTCTGAAGTCAGACATGAATCTACCCTTTTCAAACTCTTTTCAGACCTGAGATCTGATATATCTGGAGTGCCTTTTTTGACTAATGTCAGATGTCTAAGGCATGTTCAGACAAAGCCGACCTCACACCACCACCACCTACCTTTAGTGCCCATGCTATTGGCCCCCATCTGCCCTGTCTCCTGCCCGTCCCATCCTCCCCATAGTCAAGACTTGTCCAACTCAACCCCTACATTCCTTACTACGGCCTTACATTGACCAACTCGATAACAAATCGGGACCACGGACAACCTAAAAAAACCAGTTGTGGGTTGCAGACCTGATCCCTTTCCTGTCCCATCAACCCTGCTCCCACTACGCCAGGCCTGAGCTTGCCCCTCACTATAAGAAAACTGTCAGCTGCTGGGGAGGTCTCTGAAATTACACAGCACCCACGGTTGGCAGGGTGAGGTGCCTCTTTGGCAAGGACTGGATCATGTTGGTGGGCCCCTGACTCACTTAAAAAATCCTTCAACACAAACAATGCCATTGGGGGAGTTGACACCAGCCCTTAGGGTTCTTGAGTGTGCTACACATTGGGCTGCAAGCAGCAACATGAAGGGCAGACATGGTCACTTGGTGCAGGGGGGGTGGGGGCTCTGGGAGTGCCCTTGGTGATTTGATGAATATGTGCTATGTGCCTACGGGTGTACAGGATGATGAAGACCAGGACACACCTACAGCTGTTGTCACCCCAACATGCCTTGGATGCAGGAGGGGCAGGGCTGGGAGGGTGGTGCGTCACAGGGAGGTGGGGTTCCTCAGGATCTAGGGGTCCCAAGACTGCAGCATGGTCTGTTGACATCGACATCTCTACTATTGTGCCCACATGTACTACCCATTGTACCAGCCTAAAACACGGAGAATTTTTTTTAATGTTCAGCAAAGCCACTGTTTTGCTGATCAGTGACTAAAGTGTCATATTCCATTGGTGATGTTCCTTGTGCAGTCATTTTCACCATTGAATATTGATCAATGAGTGATTATGTGAAGTCACTCTGATCAATTGTTGTGATGATATCACACAAGTACAAAATAATAATTGACACATTGAAGCCAGCATAACTATGTCATGACACAAAGACCATCTAACACCTACAAACCTTCCGTGAAACGAGATTCAACAGGTGCAGGACCTGCTCCAGAGGGTGCGTCGTTCGTATTCGCACCCTCGGCAGCTTCATCATCGTCCGTCACTCGAGGCGGCTTCCCCTCAGGAGCCTTCTCCTGCTGTCTCTTGCTGGGTCGCCTCGAGACGTTGGCGCCCCCCGAAGCCGCGTGGCCATCTACGTGAGGTTTCTTATCCACCTAGACAACATGTGAGCAACTCAAATCAGCGACGCAGATTCACGACGTACGGGGTATCCGTTCGGGCCAAACTCCGTCGTATATCCCGCATGCGTGTACTCCGGCGGGCCCGCTTCGTCGTCACCCTCGCCCATATCCCTCGCCTGTTCGTACACCTCGTCGTCCTCCACGTCCTGCTCCTCCTCCACACTCGAGCCCTCATCCTCGTCCTCGTCTTCTCGTCGTCACTCGTATAACCGGCAGCCCGGACAGCAGCCGCGACCGGGCCACTGCGTTCCATCTGCTCGCTCGCGACGAGGTACCGCGCGCAGAGCATCCGTATGTCGTTCCACCACTCCATCATGTCGTCGTGCGAGCGCCCCCGGAATGCCCACGCACGGCCGCTGTTGCTGCCTCGCCCCGTCAGCGATCGGCCCAGTCCTTTGAAGGATCCCGTCTTGACCGAGCCGCTGCCGTCCTTGCGCTCCTCGATGTGGAACTTGTGGCTCTTCGCGCTGGGCGCCGACGGAGGCCCGAGGGTGCACAGGGGCAGGAACAAGCTCCAGGCGGGCTTGTCCGCAAGCGCAGGGTCCGAGGATACGTACTCGTGCAGGAATCCGGCGGGCGTGAGCACGTAGTAGGCCTCGCGGTACGCCCTCGTGTAGCGTTTCTTCCGCTCCAGGAGGCCGATATGCACGGGGATGACGGAAGGGTCCTCCTTCGATGGGTAGACGATGTGCTGTGGGTCGCGCAGCGGCGTCTCAGGGTCAACGAGGTGGTCCTCCCTCGCTGCGAAGGCGATCCACTCCCTGTCAGGGGGCAGCGCGGACATGTCGCGCTCCATAGAGTTCCACGTCTCCCGGATGTTCGTGTCCATGCGCGTTCGCCATTCCGCATACGTCGACCAAGCGGACTGGAGAGCCTGAATCAAGGAAGCTTCGAAGACGGCCGATGATGCTTGCGTCAGAAGTAGGGACTTCTGGAGGGCGTTCTCGGTGTGAACCTGCTTCACGAGTTGTCGCCCGACGACCTGGTTCGCGACATACGGATCCGACTTTGAGGTAACGCTGAGTGGTGTATTCTTGAGTATCGAGATGTTCGTCCCGAGATCGCCGATAAGCTTTGCGGAGAGCTCACGCTCTTTGGCGACTGCGGTGGCGAGCTTGCCCGTGTCGTTCTGGATGTTCTGTGGGACGCGTCTACTTCACAGGCAACAGTCACGCGTTCGTATTCACACACCTTGATATGGGCCTTAATCTCAGCGCGAAGCTTTTGGAGATGCTGCACTATGGAACCGTCGACGGTCCGACCAAGGTTGGCATATTCATCTGCGATCGCGCGCGTCCTGTCTCGTATGCCGTAGTAGATATCCTGTGCGCGGCGTTATGGTGCAGGTCGTGGAATACGGCGCCCATACGCGCACCTGAAGCCCGGCCTCTCCCAAAAACTGGTTGCCCGAACGGAACGGGACCTGGATGACGCCCGCCAACTTCGTCATTTCGCGCGCAACGTTGTTCTGGATATCCGCAATGCCTTCGAAGTACGCGATGAGCTGCTTCACGATGATCTTCCACGCGGTGAACCGCTCGATGAGGATGTCGGACGGGCGGAGGTCATGAGGGGCGATGCTCTTCTTGATGAGCGACTGGGAGCGCGAGACGGTCGAGCCATGTTTACTGGCGCGCGAAACGGATCTGGCGCGGGAGATGGAGACAGCGTCGCGGTCGGTCTGCATGGTGGCGAGAGAGAAGAAGCGGCGGGTGGAGAGGGGCCGATGGGCGGTATAAGAGGGCGGCCATGGCGGCGCGCGGATACATGTGTTCGTGCCGCGCCGTCCTGACGTCACCCCCGCCTTGCCCGCATTAGGCAGGTCTCCGCACATCATAACTTACATAGTAACTTACTCATGTCAGGCTTCTGTGTGCATGTCTTCAAATGTTTCTTAACACGTCGAACATCGCAACCTTATACTGTACAAAGTTTTGCTATGCAATCACCATCGCGCGTCGTCCGTTCTCGTCGCGCCAAAGTCCCAAAGCTACGCGCCGACGTCTGCATCATTTCCCCCAGCGGCCCCGCTCTCGAAATGCTTCCCCCTCGAGTCCGCATACCTCGACGCAAGCATCTCGCCCGCCTCGCTCCTGCTATCCGGATTCTGGCCGTACGGGTTCAGACCCGCAGCGCCGTTCTTCCGGTCAAAGTCTCTCTCGGCTTCGTGTTTGAATTCGCGTCGAGACGACTCGTCCTGACCCTGCTTTGCGTCGTCGATCTCCTGACCAATGGGCCCGCCGTTCAGTGACTGGTCGACTAGGCCAGTCTCGGATTTGTTGTTCACCAGGTCTTGTCGACCTCTTTGCGTCGAGTCGGAGAAGGTGTCTGCAGAGCCATATCCGCCTGACGAAGTTGCTGTATGGTTGTTGGTTCAGCGCGAACTTGTGAACTCAACGCGAAGCACTCACAGTCTCCTGGAGGAGGGTAGTTTCCTGTCTGGTACGCGTCGCTCATGACAAGATGTTTTATCTGCGAATATAGTCGTTTTTGATATATGGTGATGGTGCGGAATGAAGGCGTGCGGTAGAGAGCGCGACACTGGCTGCAGCGTTAAGTGCAGTCTGTTGGTGCTCTATGACGTCATTTGGATCCACAAACGGTAAGCCACCTGCCCCATCGAGCAAATACGAGGCCGTACGCTCCGCTTTGTCCTGCATCAGAAGCACGACAGATGCGGCAATGCGCTACATGGGTATATTAATGTAGTAACACACAAGGGTGCGTCAGTCCTCAACCTCACGCAGAACTCTGACACGTACGTAGGACACAAGACGCGACAGTTCCTGTGTAGAAGAGTCGTACGGGCCCGGGGATGCTTGTCATTGAACGTTATCCTACGTTGTAGGGAAGCGATAATCTTATAAGATGTCGAGTCCGAGCTGCCGACATATGCAGCTATCACGCGGTACAGCGTTTGGCGCACACTACTGTAAAAGTGGTCAAGGCCTCTTCACCAAATATCGTAATGATACATACACAACTAGAAGACTATACAATACACATATGACGACACAAGCAGACCCTCACCCGAGCAAAACCGCGTCCAAATGTTCAGTATGTCTACCAAGCACGATGTCCGCCATCGACAATAATGCTACACGACGCACGCAATCAGCAGGTAATCCCAGCGGTCGAGAAAAGAGCATGACGTACTCGCTGCCTGTGCAGTACGTGCTCGCGTCGCTCGCGAGCCAGGCGACGACGCCCCGAAGCTCGTCAGGGCGACCGAGTCGGCCGGTGGGGTTCTGGGCCGACCAAATATCGAGCAAGTGCGGCTGCGAGTCGAGGAACAGCGACGTCAGACTGCAAAAAAAAACGCAGAACGGGTTCAGCGCGGGCAGCCAGATATGCAGATCGAAGACTATGGCGCACGTAGTGTAGATATAGCCTGGGCTGAGGGTGTTGACCCGGATACCCTGTGCGGAGAGCTCGCAGGCCATGCTGCGCGCCATCTGCTTCACCGCGGACTTGGAGGTGTTGTAGGAGACCCATTTCTGGCCCTGCACCACGCGGTGGGTTAGCAAAGCTATCTGAGCGATAGGGCACACAGCAGACGTACTATGTTCGTGATGCTTCCGCTCATGCTCGCGATGAGGATGATGCTCCCGCCGTTGCCAAAGCGGGCCATCTGGCGGCCGGCGGCCTGGGCGGTGTACAGCACGCCGTTGACGTTGACGTCCATGACCTAAGGACCGGGCCATGCGTCGTTGACGGGAAGGAAATTAGAATGTATAATGAGGTATACCTCCTGGAAGGTCTTAGCATCATAGTCGAGGCAGTCCTTGTCGGGTCTCAAAATGCCCGCAGCAGCGACGCAGACGTCCATCCTACCCTCCTTGTTACCGATCGTCTCGCCCACCTTCAACATCGTTTCCTACAAGACTTCAGCTCGCTTCGTCACTTCAGCCCAAGGGACCTCGCGCACCTGGTCGCGAACGTCGGCGCTGATGTACTCAATTCGCCCTTTGCCGTCCATACGGTCAATATACTGTTTGACCTTCTGCCACTCGTCGCCGGGCGTCTTGTGGATATCAGTGCAGTAGACAACATGCGCACCGGCCTCGACGAGGGACATGGCCATCTCGAGGCCGAGTCCGCGGTTCGCCCCAGACACAAGGGCAACGCGATCGGAGAGGGAGAACTCCTTCTCGAAGAGCGTGGGCTTCGCGGCTACGCGTTGAATGTGTGGTAAGAAACCGGTTTGAGGTTCAAGGTGGAAGCGTACTCACGCGACGAAGGCGATGCTTCGAGCGCGGCCGCTACGCCGACAGGTGCGTACGGCGGGAGAATGCTCCTCTTCTTTTGGGCGGAGGTGCTCGACGTGGATTCGGCACACACAGCGCGAGCCGTCGAGAAAGCCGCGCACCGCGAAGCAGCACCAGCATACCTGCCCAGACGCGTGCCGGAGTATATGGCGGAGCGTGCGATACGTGGCTGCTGCATGGCGAGTGAACGTCGAAGATGGCCAGAGGGGTACCGTGGACAACCGTCAAAGTTCGGGCTTTGCGAGACTGCTGTGATTGACGACGGGCAGTGTTGTTTATATCTGGGCTGTAGGCGGGGTCAGGCATTAGGGGTAGCTCTGAAAGAATTTGTGGATAGGTGGATCGTCAGGTGGAGGTCATGGAGGGGCTCAGCTGACAGTCATGAGAGCATCACCCAGCCCCCCTACCGTGACTAACCCGAGTCTCAGGCAGCCATTGCGATAGCGGGGGAAGCAACATTTGGCCTGTTTCACTGGCTCGGTCGTAATCTTGCCATGCTAATGCATTATGGTAGTCAGGAGGCTGGGTGAGTGGTTCGCTGCAGATGTGAACGGTACCGTACATGTACACTGCCAGGCTGCGGGAATGGCGGTGGCTGAGCGCGACGCGCCTGTGGCGGAAGTCGGGAGGTGCCGGGACACGCCTGCGCGTCGCGTCCATCAATCTCACTTGTTCTTGTTCTTGTCCTCGCCCTCGGCCCGCCGCAGTCAAACCGCCTTTAGTGCCTTTTACGGGACTCATGACCGCCTCATCATCGCCTGGTCTCCCGGGCGGTGATTTATGGAGCACCGTCTCCGACGTTGTCGAGGTCACCGCCTGGCTGCCACCAGCTGCGGTGTCCTCTTGTTTTTCCGGACCGGTTTGGAGGGCCCTGTGTTCCGGACAATCTGGGAGACCAGTCATTGACGTATCGGATGGACGCTCGTGAGTGGGAACCGCATGACGTCGAGAGACTACGAGTCCGGATGCAGCAGCGTTACGTCGCTCCTGTGTCGCGTTGGACGCTGGCTGAGGGCGTTCTTCGCGAACTATACATCCACAGCTCATCTATGCACTGGCCATGTATGGACATCATTGTTCTGAGCATGTGAGTTCGCTCTCCCCTTGGAAGGCTCTGCAGTCGTGACGCGTCGGAGGCGCTCACGATTGCCCAAGGTTACTCGTGCAGACCAAGCCGAATGCCCGAGGGATGCAATGTACCGTGCCAGAGCCAGCTAGTGACCCTCAAAGGTATATTACTTGGTGATGCTGTGCCTTGACCCAGTTTGGACACCCACCTGATAAACGATTCCCATCCAACTCGTTCCATCGCGGAGGTATATCATGTACGCCAACCACCACTTCAATGCACCTAGTCCCCATCTCAGACCATAAACCGGAAGGGTGTCTTCGAATGGACCACATACTTCACACTGTGGCTCCATCAGCGTGGTCGGCGCTCATCCCATTCGGGTACCCCAGCAACCATTCGCAAAATACCTCAGGGCGGCCGCGCAGCCACATCGTTAATTGTGAGACAAGGCCGATTGTATGGTGCTGCGGCCGCTGGACGAAGGCCGACGACTGAAGTTGCCCAGCCTACAATGTGGTCTCAAAACACGAGGTATGCGTTCACTCCATTGATCAGGTACGTACACGCAGGCTTCGATGCCAGCGGGCGGTGCATACTTATCAGTAGCGATATTTACTGGCCCGGATCTTGCTCGTGCTGCTTATATCCGTTGCCTTCCAAGGGCAGCTGAGTGATCCGACTCTGTCCAGGTAGACAGTGCGGGTCCCCGGCCGCGGACAGAGCCAGTGAACATGATGGAGCGAGTCATGTTCGGTGGCGTACATATATGGACACTGTAACTGGCCCGGACCCTGCTATCTTACCTCCAGACTTCCTTCATCCCCCGCTCGACGGTGTCTCGCCCCCTCACCTAGGCCACGTTGTGCAACGGTTCGAAGCTGGGCTTCGTTGACATTGAGTTCCGATCACCGATCAACGACACCTACAATGACGATCCCGTCGTGCGTCGCTTCCAGCACCAGGGTCGAAGATGTTCATTCACCGGCATTCTTCGTTCATTACAGGGATGCCTCCGCTGCGGTCGAGAAGATGGCCATTTACCGGGTTCATACATTCCCTCCAGTCGCTCTGTAACACGCGTGCTGACGTCACAATCCACAGGAGTCGGCTAGGATGCTGCTGTCTCTTGCGTCGCGGCACCCGTTCGCGCTCGCGGACCCAGGACCCTCCTCCCAGCCACACGCGAGTGGGTCAACTCTCTTCATGCCTACCTGGACGGTCTTGGATCTTGGAGTGTTATCCCAACCCTTGTTCGGTGGATGGAGATCGAGGCGGGGCTCGTAACGATGTACCGGGCGTGCCCCTTCCTAACCGTCTTTGTACGCTGAACATCGCAACAATGTTTTGCTTCCACACTGATTCGTCGGGTCCTCTTAGGAGCGCGATCCCGAATGGCGTCCCGACATGATCGAGACTGTGAATGCGATCATGGAGGTTGTGTCCACCAAAACCTCCGTCAAGGCGCTGCTCGATCTTCCACGTCAAGATGCCTTCGCCATCATTAATCTACTCTACGAGGTATCTGATACTTGTTCCTGGCGCCAATAGTCCGTTAACGCGTCACTGAAGGTGCTGGACAACCAAATACGGTTGTCGATCGCCCCGCGCCTGGCCAACCGCGTTTCGGACGCTTGCGGCGAATGTGCGCCAAGTATGAGTGGCTACCCCGTAAATGCATTGTCCCCGCTGGATGTCTTGTCATCGTAGGTGACACCGCCGTTGATTGCGGTGGCTACTCCGATGTCTGGCATGCTACATACCACACAGAAGGTCGTTCTTCTACTGTCGCGCTGAAAGTGTTCCGCGTCTACGCGAAAGACAAACTGCAACGCGTGCGTAAGGTCCGCCATCCTCCCTACCTCGGTTCGCATCATGCTCACGCTCGGTGCAATAGAAGTTCTGCCAGGAAGCTATCCTTTGGCTCAGACTGCGTCACAAGAATATCGTCCCCTTGCTGGGCGCAGACATGACGCTCTTCCCTGTCTGCCTCGTCAGTGTCTGGATGAAGTACGGCAACATATCTGGCTACCTACGCCAATATCCTAACGAGGACCGCTTGCGACTCGTGCGTTTACTCGTACCTGTCGCGGTCGTTTCGCTTATCGCGTCCTGTTCAGCTCATCGACGTAGCTGAAGGCCTCGCGTACCTGCACTCAGAAAGCATGGTCCACGGCGATCTCAAATGCGTACGTTGATGTTCTCCCCTGCTTGGATCCATCTCACCGTTCTTTTTCTCACCCTTCTTTTCATAGGCTAACATTCTTATCAACGATGAGCGCCAGGCCTGCATTGGCGACTTTGGTCTCTCCGCGGTCATCCATGACCCCGAAACCATCATGTCTATCACTCCTAGCCCCAACGCCGTCGGAACCCTCCGCTGGACTGCCCCCGAGATCCTCGACCCGGAAAGCTTCGGCCTCGAACACGCCGTCGCGTCCCCGGAGACCGATGTTTACTCCTTCGGCATGGTCACGTGGGAGGTACGTCTTTATGCACCCCGCAAGCGTATCTGAAAGCTCATTTCTCCAGACATTCTCGGGCCATACGCCGTACGAAGAGTACCGCTTCGATGCACCGCACAGTGGAAGATCCTGTCGGGCATCCGCCCAGAGCGGCCCCCGCACGCAGCAGCTCTTGGGCTCTCGGATCTCGTCTGGGACCTCATCCAACGTTGCTGGTTGCTGATCGTCTTAGGCGACCATCAGCCGATACTATCCTCCACGAGCTCAAGGCCGCCCGTCGGCTGTCGCAGCTCAGCGCTGCACGGCAGACCGTTGAACACATGGAAGAGCCATCGCTTGGAGGCACCTCCCTTTTGTCTCGGTTGCGCAACGCTAACAACGGGGCCTTCCCGCGTCCTCCTCGCAAGCCCAGCTCGCTCTCTAGTCAGCGCACCCTCACCCCGTTAAGCGTCGTGCCCAGCAAGGGAGGGCTGTCTTCTGCTACAACTGCGCAGGAGTCGGCTTCTGCCGTCTTCACGAGCATACCCTTGACTGCTCAGGTCGGACTGTCTTATGTACCCAGCCGATCTCGCTTGCGGGCAGAAGCTTCAGAGCACACGCTGGTGGGCGTGACTGTTGGCTCTGCGGATACAGTGAAGGCAGGCGACCGCCAGCTCACACCGCTGCTCACCGACGTTACCGCCCCGATTCCATTTGTGAGGTCCCCCGTGAGGTAAGCTGTGTCCAGTGCTCACGTTGACGAGTGCATACTGATTCTGGTTCTTCGTTACAGCATTCCTGCACCGCCCATTGCCTTCCAGACGGCACCGAGCAATTGCCCGACACCTCAGCTGACATGGGGCGGCACCCCGCTACCCGTGCACGACAGCCATATCGATGCCCGCCGCGGCTTCTCTGCGCCAGAAGCCAATGCGGGCCAGCACTACCCGAGATCCGCGCATGACCCGGGCCCGTCCAAGGACGCCATCCGTGCGCTCGAGATACAGCGCGAGCTATCGGGCAACCGGAACAACAGCTGGGTCCACGACTGGGGGTATGTGGGTGGCGGCTGGTAGCTCTTCGCGTTCAGCCTTGTGAGCTAGCCATGCTCGTACACCAGCAGCCGTCTCTCCCGTCTCTCACTGCTGTGCAAAGTCAAGCACACCGTGCCGATCCTACGATGTGACGGTCATACAGCCCGCTCCAGGTCTGCCTTTTCCACATCGCGTCCCTACTGCTTGGCTTTTCAGTGTCCAGTCGCGCCCGAGAAAGGACGCGTAACCTCCTTCCGACTTGCCCGACTCACGTTCCGCGTCACAGTGGCCTACACCATCGCGCTCCGATCTCTGCGGCCAATGCCTGAATTACCGGACCGATTTATATATTGCATCCCATGGCCGAGTCTGCGACCGGGTCCAATTTTCGTCGCAGTATGTCTAGGCAAGCCGACGGCCTCTGTCAAGGTCTGCATCTGAGCCTCATGCTGTCGTCTTACCTCGTCGGTGCCTTGCAGGACACACCACGTAGAGTAGACCTATACCGATACCCTACAACTCGATTGCATACTCCATGATAATGCATATGTGCGTTCATCCAGTGTCCCTCGATCAACAACAGTGTGGAGCGAAAGACAACCCACTCGGCGATACATCACCCAGACGGGAGGTTGGAACGACCATCCATCCATCTACCACCAAGAGCTGGAATCCACCACCTAGTAGCAAGCACAACCCGCGTGCCCTCGCAGTCATAAAAAGGTCTGCATTTAACTTCGCAGCACGTCTACACGGGTTCGGTAAGTGATACAACACACACTACTAATCATACAGGGTACAGTACGTTACGTTCATCTCGACTCGGCGGCCGCACTTGTAGTATCAACATAGGCAGTCATTGACAAATGTGCAGGAACTCGACCAGTAACAAAGTGACATGGGGGGATGAGAGGAGGGGGCAGGGGGACAGCGGGAGAGCAGAGGGGGAGGGGGGGAGTGCGCGTCACGACGACTCACAGTATATAACTCGGGGGCGCCGTCCCGAACACCAGGTTTGAGGACGGCGCGCGGAGCACAGACACAACCAGCCACAGACACAAACACAGGGAGAATCAAGGTATACGCTATGCAGCACGCAGGCATGTCGCCACTCAAAAGGTGAACGTCCGCATGGAGCCGTCATTAGGATGAGAAAATGTACAATAGAGAACAAGCCGCGTCCGATCAGCATGTCCTTGGGACGCGGCGGGAGGGCCTGCTGCCCTTCCCTGCCGATACGCAGCCAAGGGTATACGCACACATTTCAGCTCGGGGCAGCGGACTGCTCCATGCGCCCTAGCGGGGGCAGGTCCTGCGCGGGCACGCTCGGCCGGCGGTGGCGGTCAGGCAGGGGGCCATCAGTCTGTCGTAAGCACCGTACTTGTTTGTGTGTGGTGCCCCTGCCCCCTCGTCCGCGCCCACGCTCAAGCTGCGCTGCCCGAAATCGCCATCTTCGTCATCCTCATCGTCCACGCCATCGTCATCCCAGCCCGCAGGCCCGAGCAGCGCACGCTTCGTGTTCTCAGGGCCAAGGGTCTGCGACGCGAGCCGCTTGAACGACGGACGATAGGATGAGTCAGAATCCGTGCCAGCGTCGCTGCCCACCGCGGTGGTCGACGTCGATCCGCCCGACGGCGGACGCATCGCCTGTGGCTGCAGCAGCGGCCCGCTCTGCGACGACGGTCGCGAGCCGTGTGGTGGTGGTGGCATCTGGCCTTCCTTAGCTCCAAACGCGTATGCGAGCGACGAATTCGTGGATGTCGACGACGAAGGGCGGTTGAGCAAGTCCGGTATCTTGTTAGACGGCGGAAGCTGCGGGAGGTGCGGTATGTTCGGGCTTAAACTGGTCGCCTTGCTGCTATCCGAGCCCTCCTGCGAGTGCTGAGGCTGCAGCCCGTTGGGCGGCGCAGTCCCGGCGGGCATCGTCCCTCGTCGTTTCGGCACCAAGTTCAGGTTCATCGGTGCCTTGCGCGCGAGGACGGCCTGCTCGTAGCTCCTCAAGTCATCCGCATCGTGCAGGGTCGTCCGCATGCTCGAGAACACACCCGGGTTCCCCTCGTTGCGCTGCTGACCGCCTCGGCCATCCTCATGTCCCCGCTGGGCCCGCGACATGTCACTGGGCATATGAGCTGGAACCGACCCGATGCAGGGAACATGTTCGAGCTCCAGTCCGGGAGCGTCGTGGGCGTCTTGATGCTCGGAAGGCTCGTGACACGTGAGTGCCTGCGGGTGGGTGACGGTCTGCCTGCGCCCAGGATCTGACCCGGGCCCGTGGGCGTCGCGAGAGGCATTCCATTGCTCGAGCCTGGACCGCTTAGCGGCGTCCTGAGGTACATCTTCCAAAAGTCGCGCATCTCCTTGCTGTCGCCGTCACTCCGGCCCGTTTTGAGCGCCGCGATCATGTCCTGCGTTGGTGTTTGGAGGTTGAGTCCGGATGCTCCGGGGGTAAGATTCGAGAAGAACGGTGCGGAATCTGAAGCGAGCCCCGCGAGAACATTTGGATCATCAAGCGACATGAGCCCAAAGGCAGACGAGAAGCCTCCCTCACCCTGGCCCTCGTGTTCATACACATGTCCGTTTTGTTTGCTCGAATTGTGATGCGAGTCGGGGTCGTTCGAGCTGCCGTCATCCCGATCGTCGTGATTCGCCGAGTCAAGATGCGTGAAGCCGGGCAGGATGTATGACTGGCGTGCCTGTGATTGATCAGGCAAAGGCAGATGGACATTGCTAGACTGCGCACTGCCTGGCAACGAATGTGAGTGATGCGTGCTCCCGCCATCGCTATTGAAATCCTCGCTCAAGTTCTCGGATCGTGGGTGATAGACGTTGGCACCGTGGTAGCCGTTCGCATTTCCTGAGCCGGAGGATAGGGACGGAAACGCTGATCCGTACGCGGGAGGATGGGTCTGAAGCGACGGTTCGCCTGCTCCTGAGGATATGTTGTTGTCTCGCGCAGGAAAGGACTCCCGCCCTCCCGCGTAGTTGGACCCATAATCCTTTCGATGTCCGTCGAGGGCATGAAAGGAATGCTGTGGCTGCGTGTCCTGCGCCCAGTCGGACGCCGCGGGCATGGGGACGGAATAACCGTTGTATCGTGCCTGTTGTGCCTGAGGATCATTGTATAGGGTGTGCGAGGGCAACACGCCGCCGTCAGTGTTCGCAGCGGGGTGCCCGCCATTCAAGGAGAGGGCAGATTGATGAGGAAGCACGCCGGCACGTGAGAGAAGCTCAGCCTGGGCACGGTAACGGGCAACTAGCTCCGGTGACGCGCCGGCGGGGAGCGTCAGCCCTGGATTGGCGGAAGCGTCTGCCGCATTGGCATAGCCGGCGGGATACAGAGACGACGTCGGCGGGAGCGCATACTCGCCGCCGGTTGCCGAGTACATGGAAGGGAAATTGAATGACGACTGCGGGGGGCGAGCACAAAGTCCTCGGGGAGACGGGACGTGCCAGGGATGAGGCCGCGGCCGCCAGGAGGGATCTGGTTTGGAACTGGGTGCCCTGGGCCCTGGGGCATGGTCTGGCGGTGAAACTTGACGTAGGTGCATCGACACTTGCGCTGGACGCACTTGGCTGTAGGGTCTTAGTCATCAGCAGACCGAGGGATTTGTGGGAGGAACGCACAGCATGGGTTCGCGCCATCGCAGGGCAGACTGGAGGTGACGCACTGGTCGCAGGCCTGCTTGGAGGAGGTCGCCCTGGAGGCAGCGGCGGAGCCCTTGCGCCTGTTGGGGACTGTGGTTGTTGGGGGCTTCTCTGATGCGTGGCACTTATTTACGTGCCGGGAGAGAAGATCGCTGGGGGAGGCGAGGGCGTGAGGAAGACGGACGGGGAGGCGAAGGGTGGCGCTCACCTGCGGGCGAACTGGTCGCCGCAATGCTGGCACTTGTAGGGCCGATCGCCGGTGTCTGTGGGGAGGAACATCAGCATAGGTGTGCGGAAGAGAGGAAGCAGGAGCGCGACGTCGGGTCGGACTCCATGGCGGCGCGCCGGTGGGACGAGGGAGAGTGGGAGTGGGTGGGTGGAGCGGAGACTTACGCGAACGCATATGTCTCGCAACATGCTGGGGCCGGGTGAAGGTGGACTGGCAGACTGGACACTGTGGGCGGCGGTGAGCACGACGCGGCGGACGACGAGGACGACGCGGGAGACGACGGACGCACCTTGTGGTCGCCGGCCATGACGATGACGGGGAGAGGAGAGATGTGGTGGAGACTGGGAGAGAGCAAACACGGCCCAAACACCTCCCACTAGTCCTGCCACCGCCGTGGAGCAATCAGGCGCCCCCGCCTGACGTCACTCTGATCGACGTCACATCCCCAGCGCGTGTCACGCTCACGCCTCTGCTGTCGTTACAAGTTCAATTGCGCCGTCACGCCCGTCATGCTCTACGTACACGTCCGTAGGTACCCCGTCACACCCGCCCCACCGCGCGCATTCGTCGCCAGCCCGTCGGGCTGCCCGACGCCAGATTGGGAGCCACAGATACGTCCCTTGACCCACCCTGACGTCACTCTTCCATCAGTGCCGCGAGATTGTGGCCGAGATCAGGCCGCTGCAAAAGGAAACCCGCGTCATCCCATCGACCCCGCACCGACCCAGGCTAGACCGCGTACCTTGGCGCCGTCAGCGGCACAAACACCTCCGCCTCCGATCTGCACACAGTCCAGACCCGCGTCAGCGCACTGTCCTCGACCCGCCACGCCACCCGCCGCCCGCCCCCGACGCCTGCTGCGCACGTCACGCTGACCGTGACGCGCACGTGGGTATCACCGTCGCCATCGCGAGACAAGCGTCGCGTGGCCACTAGCGTCCGATACAGCACCCGTGGTTTACGCGCAGCCCTCGTACACTGCGCACACAAGCGTCATGGGAATGTCTGCCCCCATCGCACCCCCAAACGCTGCAATCAGATGGCGCAGAGCCCTCTGCACCCTCGGCTGCAAGCGGGATCTCTTCCCCGGGGGCTTCCTATTCTCTCTCTCATCAGACAGACGCGCCGTGAACGGTGCATCCCTGCCCACGCACATCCGTGCTTCTTGCCAGACAACCTCCGCACAGTGACGAAGTCGCTGCTGCGCACGCACGCCCGGGCATCCGCTTCCCAGCGCTCCGGCGGCCACTGGAGGGCCTCGCAGCTGCCTCTCCGTCTCCCCAGAGAAACCAGTCCAACTGCGGCGCCGACGCCATCCACCTGTGTCCGGCACCGACGCGATCAAACCCGACCACGAGCGGGCTCAGATGCGCCCGAGATCCATGCATCCCGATGTTCTCGGACCGCCACAGATCTGCCGAGGCATAGATAGCCGGCACCGGCCCCTCGTTCCAGCCATGCCGCGTACAGCAGTTGCGCGCACCGGCAGCTACCATCGACGCAAAGCGCACGGGCGGCCAAACAGAAACAACCGGCGAAAATGGATACTCAACGGTGTCTGGTTGTCGATCCCGATGTACTTCATGTCCACGGGCACGTAATGCTTGTTCGGCAGCGAGTACGAGACCTGGTCCACGAATTTGTTTGTCGAGATGATCTTCTGCGCCATCTTGTACAGCGTCGCCTACACATTCGACACCAACGTCAGTCCCTAATGCCGTCAAACAGCGGCGGAGTAAACGCACCTGCACGCTCGCGCTCTCGTCGATCGCAAACGTCTCGAGCGTGATCTTCCGCGCACTATCCGCGACGGTGTCCGCCTCCCACGCGGTGCCCGCCTGCGCGTCCTCGCCGGCGACCTCCAGCGCGAGCAGCAGGTCGTCCTTCAACGCGGGCACCGCGAACGGGCGGTAGACATACTCGAGGTCGATCGACGTGCTGAGGATGCGGTCGTTCACCTCGCCGAGCGTCGTGTACTCGTCGCGCACGAAGTTCTCGAACGCGGAGCCAGTAGACTTGAGCACTGCGGGGAAGGTCAGATCGGGGTCGCGACGGCGCAAATCCCCGCGCGGTGCGCACCGAGAAGATCCTTGATCCCAGATGTCACCTTCGCGATGATCGCGTCCTTGCCCAGCGTCGCGTCGATCTACGACCCGTCAACGATCGCACTTCACTCCATTTTCGCAGCACGCACCTCGACGCTCGTGAACCGCTTGTCCTCGCCGTCGCGGAAGTACGAGTGCGGGTGGAGCTGGACGGGCTCGAGGTCGTTCACGATGGGGATGCGCGCCCAGCGGAGCTTCTCGATGGTGATGAACGCCTTGTGGAGGTGCGGATACTTCGAGACGAGGTGCGTGCCGAGGTGCACCGCGAACCGTTCGGGGCTGAGGATGTGCGGGGAGACCTTGGCGAGGTCTGAAACGCGAGGGTCGGTGCGCTGTGCGGGCGCGGAGGCGGGTCAGGATACATACAGTACGTGATGTTCTTGACTGCGGGCTTCGTGAGGTGGCGAGCGCACAAGAGAGGAAGGACACGTACTAGAGTCGGTAGCGACGACGACGGAGTTGTCCGCCTGTGTATAGCTGCGCATAGGATGTCAACCCCGCTCTTCGTTATAAAAAATGCAAATTGATAGCACAGCGCGAGGGGTTGGAGAAATGTCCCCTAAGACCCCCGGTTATAGGTGGGGATGCCTGATATAAGATCCCAGTACTGGGCCTTCGTGTTCGGATGGAATTTTACAAGATTTCGATTCTTGAGCTGGGTGAAATCAAGCCTCTGTGCATACTACGATTCGTTGTTTGGACTTCGCAACACACATTGTGCATGCGAACATTCATCCGGATGGAGGGATCAAGCCTTTCACGGCCCCACTTGTTGTTCCCTCTATCAACCGGCAGGTTTCGCGGACCCTCGCGTATCGGTAGGTGTCTCCGAGACAGGTCATAACCCATTGCGCAAGTCAACCGTCGGGCATGACCAGAGTTGATACATCTTGTGGTCGGCAGACTGAGTATGTTTGGTACATGCTCAGTACCACTGAATGCCTGCCGGGTGCGGATCAGGCCTTCCTGAACGCACCCGAACGAGTCTGTGTCCGGATAAAATCAGGCATGCCCCCTCCGAGAACCCAATCTCGTCCGGATGGGGATTTCCCACAAATAGCCGGGGGTCCTCGGGCCCTCTGCGTGCGATCACAGACAGTGCTGCTCACCTGGTTTCGATGTCTCCCTCTACGAGCGCAGAAACGTTGTACTCGACGACGCGATGGCACGCGCCCTCGCGGACGATGCGGAAGACGCGCACCTTTTCCTTGCCGTAGCGGGCACGCGAGAGGTAGGATTCTGAAGACATGAGTACGGGCAGCACGAGAGAAACCAGAGGTGGACGCAGAGCAAGAAAGAGGAAGAAAACGAGCCAGAGAGCCAGGGACAGGGGCAGCGGGGCGGATGAACGAACGGGCTGCTGAGCAATCGAGGTCGTCCGTAGCGCGGTGGACAGCCTGGCCGCTGCTCCAGATTAGATAACACCCGCCGAGGGGCGCGATCGGCCTGGCCGCTGCCGCTCGGCCGGGAGCGCCCGCCGGACGCCGGACGGCGCCGGGCCCTTCCGAGCTCGCCAGCACGGCCCACGGCCCACGGGGAGCGGTAACAATTTCTCGTCACCGTCACCGTCCACCTCCAAGTTCGCGAGGCTCGTCCTCCGCATCCCTCCTGCAGCACCCCATCTTAGACCGTACGTTAGACCCAGGGCGATATTGCTAGGATGCGCGCGTCCGTTCCCTTCCGGCTCGCACAGCTGCGCCCGCGTGTGCATGTGCAGAAACGCTTCGCGTCGAGCACACCCGGCGGAGGCTTCAACGTGAACACGGCGGAGGCGCAGAAGAAGGCCGAGGAGGCGGTGGCCGCGGCGGGCAAGAGGCTCGGGCAGGCGGTGGAGGTGGGCAAGAAGTACATGGGCCCCGTCGGCGAGAAGGCTGGGAGTATGCTCGGGTGTGAGTGTCTGTGCTCTCTTTGCTGTTCCTGCCTTCAATCTCCTGTACATGTGTGAACTGCTCTTGTTCCGTTCGTTTCACTTTCGGCAATGACTGACGCGGTTTGGTCAGCCTACCGAGAGCCTCTCCTGTACAATCTCTCCGTCGCACGCGAGTTTCTGAAGCAGGTCTACGTCGCGGAGCGCCTCCAGCCACCAACATCGCTGCCCGTGTTCCAGCACGCGTACTCCACCCTCTGGTCGCGTGCGAGCAACCCCGCGTACTGGCGCGAGCTCGTGCGGTCGGGCGACTGGACAAAAGTCGGCGTGTATGCGCTTGAGGCGTACGGTATCTTCAAAGTGAGTGGGCCGCGCTTACTCTCGCGCACGAGAGGTTACTGACGGGTGTCCGTGAACTTTACCCGTTGGTGCGTGCAGATTGGAGAGATCATTGGGCGGAGGAGTCTGGTCGGATACAAAGTGGAATGAAGTAATCGCTAGCTGTGCTTTGACCGATGCAGTCTCTCGTTTGCCCCGCGACTTAAATTATGGACCATATGCCTCTGCTGTGTCCCAGCTGTGTCATCTCTCGAGACCGTCGTTGGCGTGTGGGAGACCTGTCCATTGCGGGCACGGTGGGGTGACCTCCACTCGTTCGGCGTCTTCGTCGGGCGGTCCACTACGCGTGACAGAAGTCATCGTCAAGCAGCTCACAGCGCCCTGATTGAAGTGTATACTTGAGTATATTATGCCCTGATAGCAGTGCGCATGGTCCTGATATCTGGCTTCGAAAATCTGAGGCCTGAGGCGTTGATGTTCAGAACGTTCGACGTGTCACTGTCAGAGGTGTCAAGCGTATCGACGACGATGTACACAGCGGCATTGGACTGAAGATGAGTCGTACAACAGTGGTGTGGACAGTCGTAAGGTATTGGCACGTTGCTGAGTTCGAAGTGGCTACGGAGCGGGTGTGGCACTGGCAGTGGTACGTCCTGGTCTGGAACTGTCGTGAAAGCCATGGCAAGGGGTCGTTAAGTTACTGAGCAGGACGTGCACTTGAATGGAATGTGTCTGCTGCACCACGTCGCATCGCATTCGACCGACATTCGGCTCAGACTGCGTGTGCGCACTCATGCCAGTGGTGAGAATAAGTCATGGCCAAAATTATAATGGCCAATGAGTGTGTACCTTGCACACGGAGCGACGCTCCGAGTGGCGGATCTCATCGAGAGTGAAATCGCACACATGCTCAGAAGAACAGTGCTCGTACGCAGCTAGTGCATATGTGAGCTGTGGATGCAGTTCGAGAGTCTGCACTTGTTGTCTCTCGACGCCATGCAGTCCCCACTCAAGGCGGGCAGGGGCCTAAGAAGAGAACAAGGAGAGCTCCGTAAGCTGACGGACGCGACGCGCAGGCTGTACACACATCCATTACCAAAACGCAGCTCAACAGTGGAAAGGCTGAGTCGATTGACACCCTGATCATAAGCAGCGCGTACGAAACCAGATAATCTCCGCCTCCCGGGTGAATCGGATTTTGTGGAACGCACCCTCGATTGCAACCAGGTGTCTGCGTAGCCGCCTCATCGGGCGGATAAGGCTCTGCCCACACGGTGTCATGTCCATATCTGCACAGAGAGGTGTCCGAAACCCGGTGAACAAGTCAGAGACTGGTCTAGTCGACCAGTCGCTCAAAGGCGGGTCCGTTGACCAGGAGATCAATGCGCGAAGCAAGGTCATGACAAGGCGTCTCGACGTGAAACCACACACAAGGCGGGGGTATTTGACCGGAGGGACGGCGCTGCGGCGTTAGGCGTGAACCCATACAGCCAGAACTTTGCGAGACGGGCGAGATACTTGTGATATGCGGCCTCCGGGGAAGGCATTTCGAGACGGGGCTGCTGAGGGGAACGATGGCGATATCGACGCGTAACTTCGGGACTTGGGCGCGACGGGAACGGACGATGCACGATGGTGGTTGTATGATGAAGCTCTTGTACTGTGACAGTACTGTTGCGATGTGCGATGCTGCGAACAAGTGTTCGCGCCATGCGGACAAGCACTTTGGTATAGGTAACATCAGGTAACATCTCACGCTGTCTGTCGCTGGGGCCAGGCTTGAGCTCACGCCAGTGTGTGCCCTGCTCGCGCAAGTGTTCCGAAGCCCGAGCCGGATGTCACTGCCAGACGTCGGCCATTTAAATGTTTACTAATTGGGGTTGGTGAGATCCCTGGAAGTTGTGGGACGGATACACTGTGGCTTACCTATCCTTGGCCCCTCGAGATCATGCGTTTACTGACACTACATGCATCAGTGTCCGTTGTTGATGTACTTTACTATGGCCAATGTCTGTGATGCGGTTACCAAGAGTGTCGTGCCAGCGCGAGAGCACTCGGCCATCGTAAGGACTCGGAGCATCCGATGGAGGTGAGTAAGGCAGAGCGTGCGAGTGGTGTTCCACCCGAGCGCTGCTTAGTCATCGAGTGCGCGCTCCGGAGGCAGTCGCAGCCCAAACCGGCAAGTGGGCGGGCCGCGGTGCCTGGGTGGCCACTCGCAAACAGGGCCACATATCAGTCAGATCGCACCGCCCGACCGGCAGACGACCTCAACATCCTACTCGACGACGTCCACCGCACGCTCGCCGCCCGCCACCCCGTCCCCCATCGTCCCCACCGCCCTCAGCAACACAGACAGCGACACCGTCTCCATCTCTACCCACCCACTCTCTTTCGCCTCATGCGGGAATCCAACTTCGCGTTCCCAGCCCAGAATCGGGCTTGCGTCTGCATCTCCTCCCAGCTCTATGACAGACGAGGTGAGTTGCGCGTCTTGTTGGTCGTCCTCGGCGGGATTGTCTGGTTGGGTTTGCACGTCGAGTGTGTGCGGCGGCGTGAGCAGGGCTGGGGGTTAGTCAGAGCGCGAGGGATCCGGGTCTACGCGCCGCGCAGCATACGACAGCCGCGGTGCGCCTTGTCGTGTGTACGCTGCCCTCTGGTCATCGACGGCTCATCAGCAAGTGTGGTCGCCTCCGGTGGGGACGTTCGTCCCATCGCAGCCGGACCTGTGATAGTTCGTATTCCCTTGGCAGCGCCGCGTTCCCCCGCCTGCTGCTACCGCTCCTACTTTCTATCGCTCATGCACGTCCGACATCTCTTCGCGAGTTACAACATCAGCTCCTCGCTGCCACCCTAGTGTCTCTGAACGTCGGAGAACGGGGAGTCCAGGCTGTCCGTACGCGGCGGTCATTGTTGTGATGCATTATGCGCAAGGTCCCTTGTACTCCCCGTTGCCCACCTATCCTGGTCGCTCTTGATTATCTGCGCGCGTATGCCCCGCCCAAAACCACGCTCTCTGTAGCGGGCATGCGCGTGCTGTGCAGATCTGTGATCCTTCACAGGTCCGTCCCAGTCGAGTCCATATCGTGGAGCCACACCCAACAGGCACATGAAGCGGAGGACGGAGTTCTTTGCGTTACAGCGACCCGTCCGCTTCGTGCAGCCTGGCTGGGGGTATTCCATATCGAATCCGCCGGAGACTTTCGGCGTGATCTGTAGCATCTTACAGCGGAAACGCGGGTTCGCAGGGTGACTTCCCGGTGATACTTCGTCAGCCGTTGGCGGATGAGCTTCATCAGTTTGAGGTCATCACTCGGGCGTTCTCGAGCGAGGTGACTGATCCAGGGCCAGCTGGCTCACTCGATGGAATTGATGGTCATTGTCTGTCTTCCGCCAAAGTGTTTGCTTGAGGCCGTCCCTTCGTGGTTATGGCCACAATACGCGTGGCGACGCGGGGGTTCATGTGGTGGCCTCCCTGTGATGCTTCGACAATCGCTGGTGGATACAAATCAATGAGTCGTTTCCACGCTCATTATGTGTATGGGTACGACGGATTGAGTTCTGGTGTTTCGCCGAGGACATTCACTTCCCAACCATGATCAGATTTAGTGGCTAACGTTCTCTTCTCAGCTCTCGACACGAATTCGCCCCTTCCGCTGTTCAATTCCCTGACGCACCTTACCTACCTCACATCGACGTCACCACGCATCCGCGAGATCATGACCATGGACGGGGGCCTCGAGCGGCTCGTCCGCATCCTGCACGACTTCTGCATATGCCCACCGCCTCCCGAAAACCCCATGCTCTTTTACGGCCTATCGCCACCATCTGCCCACCCGCCGAAACTCGTGCCGACGTTGAACCCAAAGTCTTTCGACAAGCAAGCACAGTACCGCTTCACCCTCGCCTTCCAGTGTATCGTCAACATCGGTGTGCGCGGCAGCGAGTTCATTCGAAGTCGGGTTGTACAGGCAGGGACGCTCGATGTGGTCGGATGCATTCTAGAGGCGTGGTTGGCCGGACGGGGATTTGCCGTAGGGCCCAGTGTAAGCGCAAGTGGTCTGCCGAGGGAGACGAAGGAACAACGACTCGCAAGGCGGCAAGCACAGATGGAAGCACGTCAGCGAGAACAGGCAGATCAGTTGGCTCGGGCGCTGCAGCAACAAGTAATCGAGCCAAGTCGACGCCTAGCCCCGCTGCCCCCGGAGGTGAGTGGACTTTGCATATTGGCGGGCCTTAGATGGCGAATGGTGTTCGTAGGACGAGCCTATGGAGGCGGAAACAACATCTCGGGCAGATACCCCAGCAGATTCGTCGGCGAACCCGACACCGGGTGGCATCAATACGCCGACGGGGAGTGGACGCGAGCGCAGTGGCACGATCATCGCCCGCCCAGCGTGGGACCCGCCTGCAGGCCCTGTGGGAGGCGGTCACACACATCGCCGCACCTACCGGCGGCGGGATCCGCCTCCCGAGTCTGCGGGCGCATCTACGTCGACATCTGCGGACAATTCTCGGCCAGAGACCGAGACCGAAGATGACGGGGACGTTGATATGGATCAAGAGAGTGCCCATGGCGACGAGGCGTCGACGTCGGGGACGCCACCTCCCGAGCGGCGCGGACCGCCCGCGGGCACGATTCGCGCGCCCACTGTGCATACCCGACGCACGGTGGGCATTGTTTCTGATGCGGGTAATCCCGCTACTACAGGCTCTCTGGACATGGACAACGACGTCCATATTGTTATCAATGGCCAGGGCGATGGCGGCGTGGAAGGTGTAGGCGTGGAGGACGGGCTGGTGTCGATGGAGACGAACGACGATTTCGCGATGGGCGCACCACCAGGAGCGCCTGGTGCTATTGACGGGCCACCTGCAAGAATAGGCCCCGATCCGCCGATGCCTGGAGAGCGAACACCGAGGGCGCCCACAACCGCCCTCCCCCACGCTATCTCCATCAACGTCCCCCCTGTTCCCAGTCCCAATATCCGAGTCACCACCGCTGATCCTCCGACCACTCGCGCTGGGCGCACTCATGTCAGTCGTGGAACGAATACGGGTGGTGCGGGTGGCAACGCCGGCGCAGGTGCGGCGGGCGGCTCGCATGGCCACCATCACCACCATCATGCCCGCGAGTCGGAAGGCCCGTACCGCGATGAGGACGTGCTTCTCAGCCTGCAGCTCCTGGCATATCTCAGCAAGTACCCCCACGTCCGGCAGGCGTTCTACAAGCCGCGCACGACGTTTCACCCCGCGACGGCGCAGCTCCCAGTTGGCGATGGTCGGTTCGCATCATCATCGTCTGCGGCGGGCCCGAGTAACAAGGCGGGTGTAGGCGCGGGCGGGTTCGGCCCGATTGGGCCTGCGAAAGAGCCGAATTCGTTCATCAGGGCGTACAACACCGTCACAGGGCGGGGAAAGGAGAAGGCGCCAGCGAGCCCTGAGCCTGCCGCGCCGATTGCGGCGCCTCCGACGCCTCAGCGGATGACGAACGTGTTTGCGTTGGTGGAGAGGTTCACGTTTCGCCACAGTTCGGTGGATATGGAGAGCTCGAACCCGCCGCCGTCCTTGCCACCAGAGATCCAGTACTGGGCGGGTGTCATCATGCGCAACGCGTGCAGGAAGGACGACAGTCGAGGTGGGATCCGGCAGTGTGCCAACAGTAAGTGCAGTTGTCTGTGGTTGTGTCGCGCGCAGGTGCATGTGGCTGACGTCTCGATCTTGCAGTGCTGTGCGGTCGGTGGGAGTCGTTCCCGCGCGAGTTCGCTAAGTGCAGGAGATGCAGAAAAGCGAAGTACTGCGGGAAGGAGTGCCAGAGCCTGGCATGGAGCGAGGGCCACCGGTTCTGGTGCAGCGCGAAGGACCCCGAGGAGGACGCCGAGCACCACGCCGAGAGCTCACGGACGGGCCAGACCACGTCGACGGGTACGGTCACCGCAGACGGGACGCCGGTGCAGACTGGACGACACGAGCGCCGGGCGGAGCGCGAGCGCGAGAGACATACACGGACACTGGCGACGGAGGTGCTTCGTCAGGAGCGGCGGGAGCAGATGATGGTCGCCGTTAGGATGGGCGGGACTCTCATGCGACCGGGGGCTCCAGGCATCGACCTCGGTATCCGCGACGGTGTCACGGTTGTCAGTCCGGACGAGACTCCCAATGATGGAGCGGGCCCAGCACGCGTGAACGGGAACCCAGACGACATGATGCTGGGCTAGCTGCACGTTCGCTCCCCTTCGCCCGACACCTCTCCCCCTTCCCCTTCCCCGCTCGTCGATCATCTGGAACGCCAGGCACGCCGCAATGGACTAGATACATATCGCACTACACTCGTTGGCAATGGTCGATTCATCTTTTCTGTTCATTTCTTGTGCCACTGCTGCTGGTGGATTGTACCGTGACATACCCGTGTCTCTCCCGCATCGTGATCTCTGTCCTGTGTCCTCCGCATTGTAGTCTACACACATACAATCTACCGCAACGCAATACATTTACCTCTTATTAGAGTCGTGGTTTATTTCTACTCATGCGTGGGTGCCTATGAGTCGGGCTGTGAGCGTGGCTAGTTCGAGAGCCTTCGAGTCCGAGCGACCGACGTTGTTTGGCGCGGCCAAACAAGAGGGCAGAAATTGTGACGCGTGTTCTGGGCGCCTGACACACCTCCGCCAGCGTTCTCTCCGCCGAGTCCTCTGTCCTCTGTCACAAATGGTGCGCTGCCCTTCCTCGTCGCTGTGCTCAATGTGCTGACCATGGCTTCGCGCGATGTTTAGGCTGCCCAGGCAACGTTCAAGTCCATCAAGGCCGTCGTGCCCCTCCTTGACCGTGTCCTCGTCCAGAGGTTCAAGCCCGAGACGGTGCGCTCTCCCCGCTCCTGTGCACATCTCCTGTGAAAGACTGATGGCGGTTGGTACAGAAAACCGCGACGGGCATCTTCCTCCCTGCGTCTGCTACGAGCAGCCCGCTGCCCGAGGCGACCGTCATCGCGACCGGCCCCGGCGCGCCGAACAAGGAAGGCAAGGTCGTCCCGACGGTCGTGAAGGCGGGCGACCGTGTGCTCCTCCCTGGCTGGGGCGGCAACTCGATCAAGGTCGGCGAGGATGTGAGTCTGTCCTCGGGTTGTATGTGGGGGCTGCGCTCATGTGTGAAACAGGAATTCTTCCTCTTCCGGGACTCGGAGATCCTTGCGAAGATCCAGGAGTGAGTGGATGGAGGTTCGTCGCGGGGTGCGTGAGGGGTTGGATTAGGGCGGCCGGTATGGTGTATGGGCTGTGGTCCGGGTGTAGGGCCTGACAAAAGTTTGCTATCATATATTCGGTGCTATGGTTAATTGATCCAGCATGTTTTCGGCGCATTGTGTTGTTCTCCATTGCAATCCACACATCTCCCCCACTCATTGTACGTACTTACCGTTCGCCCAGGGGTGATACTCGGCAATGAAAGGGACCCATCAACGATTCAAGCAAAGATGGAAGTATGGATCCCCGTCGTTGCACTCTATCTTGCATTACATATATGTACCCAACCAATGACACCGAGCCCAGACAACGAGCCACTTTTACACAGAAAGCGGGCTAACCCAAAGGGAGTCCGAGCAGTCCAACGGTAGTCTACTCGTCCTTCGCGATCCGCTTCTCCGCCTCGTCGATCGCGGCCTTGTCCGTCTGAGGGTTTGCGGCAGCTGTCGAGCGCAATGTCAGCATCTGTTCGGTGGACGGAGCACAGCAGAGAACACGAACCGCCCATGAAGCCGCCGACCTTGAAGGGCCGCTTGAGGTCGCCCTCCGCTGGCCGACCGAGGACGTGGATTGCGACGGGCTTTGCGTCGTAGAGGTTCTTGAGGCCCATGAGCGCCTGGACGAACAAGGGCTGTGTGTACCTGCACCGTCGTATTAGCACTCTGAGTCTGAATGAGCTGCGGGAGAGAGCATGCGCACTGCATGTATAGGTGCATGAAGCCCATCATGGCGACGCCCATGAAGACGGAGCGGATGAGCTTGGAGGTCTCGGCGAGGTCGTAGTCACGGATGGTTGTCGTTACGAGGTTGCCCTGCTCGCCGCCGCTCTGCGCAGAACGGGTGTCATGTGAGGTGGGGGAAGGGCTCTGGCCGTGTGCATGCGTACCATTGGACTTGCAGGCTCGACTGTAAGAACCTGGTCAGTATCCGGGTAGAATAGGCACGGAAATCGTACGTACCATACTTGAGGACCGTCATGTCGTTCTTCTGCTTGATCTGCAGGTCCGAGCCACGTCAGTCCGACAAAGGACTTCAGTCATATAATACACAGACATACTTTGTACGATGCGTAGTAGTACGCGCCCAGGATGACTGCCTGCACGGTCACATACGCAATGCGCACGCCCAGCAGCACCTGTGGGTCGTCAAAGTCCAACTTCCTCGCGACTTCAAGGGCGCATGCGCGGCCGGGTCAGCATGCGTTCCTCCTCATGTTCGTTAGCTCACGCACCCTGCATCGCGCCGAGGGAGATGACGAGGTTGGAGGCGGCAGCGTTCATGATGCTGGGCGAGTGTGCGGCGAGGAGGGGAGGGCAGGAGGAGGAGACGGCAAGGGGTGGTGTGGCGGGGCTGTTGGCTGGGGAGGATCGCTGGGCGCTCGTCCAAATTCTCTCCGCGACGTGGCAATGTCCTCCGAGTCGCCCAGTCAGGAAGGTGCTGTCCTTTGCAGTCTCTCCCGAGCCTGATCTCGTCGCCCGACTCCTTTGCACCATACCGTCCTGTTGGCGAGCAAGTCTGCGCCGCGCAGGTACATGTCTCCGGTCGTAGTGAATAATCGTGTACTCACACTGGAGGCTAGGTACAAATGAGGCTGTCAAGTTCAGACCACAACGCACTCCTTCCACGAAATGATCGAGTACAATTACATAGCGCACAACGTAGTAGGTACAGCCTTGTCACTCACACAGCATCAGGTTAAATACGGTATAAAAAGGTACCGAGGACGCATTGGACCTTTCACATCGGCGCGGGGATCCCATGTAACATATCCCACAACATAGGATCGGATGTCTCCGACCAGAAATGGGCTGGCGGAGAGTTGACGACGACGTGGTGGTGTCGTTCGCTCTGGTGGGTACGACCGACATTCACGTTCTCCATTTCCGTCTCGTCATCCGACGGTATCTCCGGATAATCTCCCAGAGACAGCGCAGCCTCATCGGGCTTCTCCTCATGCGGTAGGCAGCCAGACGAGACATCGTCTTTGACCACCCTTGCTGAACTCTTGACCGCAGATTACCGTGGTCACCGACCTCCGTTGCCAGCTCCGGGATTGCCCCGGTGTCTTTGGCATCGAGCGCGGACACCTCGTTCAACGGCTGCCCATCTTCCACAAAAGCGCCCGATATTTCGATGGACAGCTCTGGCTCAGTCGTCGCAGCGACAGCACGCTGCGCCCCCTCGAAGAGATCAACAAAGTTCCTCCTCTTCCTCCTGAAACACTTCCTCTTCTTCAGCCGCTTGATCGGGATACGCGGCGACGATGGGAAGAGGTGCTTGCTCCCCCACCGCTCCTCTGGAAGGTGCGAGAGCAAGGGCCGCGCGAGTTCGTGTTCGTATTCGACGATCTCGTTTTTGTTTGACCATGCGCTGTATTATACAGTCATCCACGTGAGCAAACAGCTCAAGCTTCGGTGGCGAAGACATCCAACACGTACCGGCTCGTCATGCCCATGATACACAGTTCGTGCCACAAGGACATGTTCTGCCTCCGATCCAAGATCACCTCGGGCAGCCTCCGGTTGATCAGCGAGTTCTGGGACTCTGCATAGAGTTCGGGGTCTACCCCGAAGAGCCATTGCAGGTCTAGGTCGGGAATAACCCGCCACCCGCCATCTTCCTCTTGGTCGTCCTCATTTTCGTCGTCCTCTTCATCGTCCTCTTCGTCATCCGAGTCATCGAAGAAGGTGCTATCACCATCGTGGTTTTCAAATGGATCCACGTCCTCCGCTGCCACGATCGGCGGGGCGATAGATGGGGCGCCCGACGACCCTGCTCGCCAGGTGAGTCCCAATAACCTGCAAGCCCATTACAAAGACTCGACTTACCAGACGAAGGCCGATCCACCTCAGGCGCATCCGCCGCACTGTCATCTTCCTCGTCGTTGACGACTATCTCCGGGATGTCGTCAATGAAAGGAACTGCGTCCGCTTCCGTAACGCCATGGGCACCAAGGACGTCTTCACGTTGGACGTATACTACCGCGTCCTCTTCAGCTCGTGGCCTCTTCGGCTGGACGTTGTCCTCAAGGTTAACGTCCTTCCGTTTCCTGGATGGTTCTCCGGCCATGAAGAAGAACGGAAAGCGCTGCAGGCATCGCGTGAGCCAACTGATCACGACGCAGAACACAGAACATCGACGACTCGGAAGGGTTTGTGGCAGCGGCAGTGGCACCACAAGCCCGAAGCGTCAAACAAAGGAAGGGGACGGATCCGCACTCACAGGCTTTGTGGTTTCGACCGCGGGACAAAGCGGGGAGGGGAGAGGAGTGCGGGGAAAGGTTCAGATCAGGACGCGTCGGTCCGGTGGGGGTTTATGAATTGTGGCTGCAGCTGCAGCCACAAACGCGTTCCCCGTGCATCACGTGTGGAGACCGGCCACACGCACTCGATTGTGCCACTCATCACCACGTTTTCCGGGATGTACAGCCCCCCGGAATGCCAAGACGGTGGTTGTTGAGTCTGGGTACGATGATAGCTGGTAAGGTGAGTCCGCTACGCAGTCAAGGCTACGACACTCACTTCGATTGTTCTGCAGAACGTGGCTCGACGCCTTTGTCTCTCAAGAAGACATGCGCAGCCTCTACGGTTTATATAATGCATGCCTCCATTGGCGAACATATGCATGGACGAAAATACTAGTACGTATGGCACTGCCGGCTCCGACGTCACAGTGATTGAACGGCGATGTAACGGTGAAAACTTGGTCGTTTGAAGGGTATGGGTCGCCACACACCCGCTAACTTGAAGCTTCTAGCAGTCTTCTGCCTGGTAGAATTTCTGGACATACCTGCTCAGAAGGACGCGTGTGTAGATGGTCGTCGCATCGAACGGTAGTGGAAAGGTGATTAGCTTGAGGCCAACTGCGTACGCTGCCTTCATATTTAATTTTGGGGGCGCAATAAATTCTCTTCTGCCAGTCTGTCCCCCCGAATGCACATGACCGTCGTGCTATTTGTCTGCGCTGATACAGATGCTTCAGGCTCACATAGGAGAATGGAAGGTGGTTTGGTCTGCTACAGAGATGGCTGGGTCGCCGGGGCGATGGGGCCTCGCGCTCGATATGTCCATAGGCAGATGTTGTGCCAACGGAAAATCAACGGATAGGACACGTATTCGTGCTGATGTCTCCCAGAGGTCGACGCTCTCCGTTACATCCAATCAAGCATTATTCTCCCTCAAAGACGGCGTGCTCATTGTGCACGAGGCTCCGAGTCGTCTCTATCCTTCTTCTCGCCGAGATCGCGGACGTCGACTTTGTGTGCTTCCGTCCACCATTCGACTTTGATGTGATTCTTCTCCGAGTCTGCCTCTCCGTCGTCTCGGAGGATGTACAAGTGTATTGATCTTTTCTTTGCAGTTTATTCTCCGAGATGATGTTGATGGGTGGTACGTAGGCCCTGCTGCGATCAATGCGGCGCTGATATTCTGGACGTAGGCCAGTGTATTGACCGCGTTCTCTGCTCCCCATGTTTCTTCTTCTGGACGATGGCCGCGAGGCTGGCCAGCCTGAGCATACTATATTTGCGTCGAATCAACACGCTGATTGATTGTTCTACTTGGAAAGTGACTATGGTCTGGACAGTATCAGTTATTCTCAAGACGATGACCAAGGGTTCGTTGAGTAGTATCGGAGGTGACTGACAGGGCATTGGGGAATACATGATTTTTATCTGCACTACACACCGTACAACAGATTAGCACCACAACCTAGGCAACATCTACAACCGTAACCGCATACAACAATCCTGTACCGAACATCACTGGAGCCAAGACAAATACAACGCACTCGTCTTGTACACATACTAGGTGGAAGACGATATCATGGATGTCAAGTCCGTCTCCCAGGCATACGTACTCTTGCGCTTTGTGCGCGGAAGGCACCTCGTTGGCGTCGACTTCATTTTCCTATGCCCCCCATTGCCTAACGGCCACCGGCGCTTTCCACAGCGGATGTAGGCTCCGCATTGAGACGTATTCCACCTGTAGTACAGCACCAGAGGTGTTGATGGCTGGTGTAGGAAGCACATCACCCGCCGAAGCGAGTAGTATACGAAGCCGACTGGGGCTTCTTGGATTCCTTTGCCGCTCGAGCCGGTCCTCGTAGAGCACTGGCACGGTGAGCGGCGGGAAAAGTCGGCTATTTTTGAATTCCTTGGGGAGATACGACGTTGGCTCCAGAGGATCTGGTCCTACGCGCACACTTCCGCTCGCTTCGTCATTCATTGTCGATTCCTGTAAGTGAAGGGCTTGGCCATGAGCAATGTGTCCGTGTAACAAGGACAAAGCTGGCACAAAACACTTACTCATTCGTCTCATCAAGCTGAGAAAGCTCCCGCCAGAGGCGAGGCTCTCCGTTCTATCCAAGAGCTCAGGTATTTTCAAGTCTCGCAACGAGAAGCATGCCTCGGCGCGCAGCTTGTCTTTGTCCTCCCCCTCCTCGGAGGGGTCTCGGACGTTGTTAACCTGGGGCACCTCAGTCCACCCTTCGGCTTTCTTTCCTTCAGGCTCCTGCGTCTCTCCCCTCTCTTCCGGTCTGTCGGATTCATCCTTCGCAATGATTTTCTTGTCAATATCATTCTCGTTCGGGTCTTCGTCTTTCATGTCTTCCTCGTCGTCCCAATCAAAGAAGCTTTGACCAACTTCGACATTACACATGCCGCCCTTAGCCCGCACCGCTGAGACAACGGACAGCGGTGAGCTGTTAGCGGCATCTGGTGCGGAGATACAGGACCCTGCTCCTCCCGTAGTGAGCCTGCAAGTCCGACCATCATCAGCATAGAGATTGAACATACCCGACAAAACCTCAAGCCGTTGCATCATAGTCTGCAGGCCGCTAAGCTCGAGCTCAATGGCCTCTTGCTTCTTGGAGATCTCGGCTGTCATCACTGGGATACTATAATTGCTGGCATAGTGTCAGCGAGCCACCCAAGCCACATGTCAAAAGATATGCGCAATGAAAGTGAACGTCTCCGTAATGGTTCGAAAGGGTCAAAGCTAACAGAATAAGGGGCCAAAGATGTACTCACTTAAAGTATCTACAGCTGGTGCCGCGGGGAAGCGAGGTGCAGAGAGGGGAGTGAGTGGTGCAGAGGTAAGTGAGGGATCAAGACGCGACGCGCCGCGTTGGGCTTATGAACTATGGGCGCGTCTGCAGCCACAGACGTCTTAAACGCGTGTCACGTGCAAACACGGACCACACGCACTCGACATTCTCACTTACCATCACACATTCCTGGCCTAGATGCTGGTCGAAAAGTTCAGAGGGCATGCAAATGGCCTGGGAACGGTGATATGAGTTGCTTGAATCACTGCACAGTGAACGCAGCAACACTCACATTGATTATTCCACAGAATGTGGCTTTGCGCTTTGGTAGGGTCTCTGTTCGAGGCAATCCCTCTTCCTACGACTCAAAATTACGCGGTGTCCCTTGTGTGGATCCCACAGATATCATGATAGGATCGATGTAACACGGAGCGGCTCTGTCGACAAACTGGGTAGTGCGAGCGGCAATGTACAGTATTCGGCACGGGCGAAGCTTGGTGCATAATAGTCGAACTAGGTTCCTGCATCTAACTGCCTTCGCTGCCTCTGGGAAGTATGTGTCTCAGAGTCTAAACCCGCGTGACGGATAGCTGGCTCACCTTCGAGAATCGACGTGGCTCTTCTGGCACGGCATGCTTCTTCGCACTCTTCGCGCTTGAATCCTGTGAAACATCTCGAATTTGTGCATCCTCAATCTCACACGGTGTACACACCTTGGATACGGACGGAACTTCTGCGTCGCCAATCGTACGGACAACCTGCGTAGGAACACGGTCTTCTACGTCGCTCCACAGCAGGTTCTGGGACAACCACGGCACATCTTCCAGCAACTTAACTGGGGTATATATCATTCCTCTCGGAGCAATCCCAACGCCGTACTTTTTCATGAGCATCTCCAGGGACACCGGGCTCCGAAGCTGACGCACGCTCCGGACCCTATACGCAAAGTCCCACCTATCCATGTCAGGATGCCGCTCGTTGAACCTCCTGTTGCCTATGCCGTCCTCAGGCAGCGGCGGGTCACCAGGACACCGCGTCCGCGCTGGTCTATCTCGCACACGTACGAGACGTGCTCAGGGCGCCTTCAGGTAGAACCAGACGCGTTTGATGGAGTCTTTGATTCTGTACCGTCGGAACTCGTACGTCTGTACGTCGATGTATTTGTCGTTCATTGAGTCACACTTTCACGCCGTTCACAGAGTGCTACTCACCTTTTCGCGTTGCACAATTTGCTGCATGCACTCATCTGTCATGGGAAGGATGATATCGGTTTTCATGGATTTGAAGTGACGCTGAGAGCGTCGTGCGGCTCAACAAGATAATCTCAAGTCCGCGTTGAGTGCATGCGCGCAACGAGCGTTGTTCAGGCCCAGAAACACGACAAAAGGTATGTGGTGGTGCGTGGTAACAGTGTGTGGTCCACCAACTGATCATTGTATTTCTGACTGCTGGCAGCTGCTCCCCGAATCACTCGGCTTATTGACGTGGCGCGCATAAACGGCGCTTGTCCCTTTTTCAAAGACGTTCGGGGACCGAAGAGCACTGGAACGCCAAATGGATTGATCCATGCAGAGCCCATGAGCTCTAAATCAGCAGTACTATCATCAAATGCGTCGTCTACTAGTAGAAACAACATCCGGGCGAGTATCGTATAAGCACTAAAAGCGGCACAGGTATGCACTACACTAGTATGTAGAGACAAGGAGCATCGAGACGTGAGAGGCGTGGCGGAACCATACGTGTCGGTAAAGCAATAAATTATGTGCAGAGTCGGTCTATGTATGTATGAATGCGTGGCGAAGAAATACGTCTAGAGATGTGATTGCGAGTGCAAGCTTAGGCCTTGAGCAATGACGACGAGCCGATGACACGCGACCGGATGTGCGCGAGGAAGCGGGCCATGCATGGCTCCGAAGCGTAGGTTGAGCTCCTTCCCTGACGTCCTGTGCGTAGTGGCGTCGGCACCAGCACCGAGTGTTGAAACTGAGGATCCGGATCCGGGGATTACACCTTTTTCTCCGCCTGAGCCTGCGCCTTCTCGTCGCGGATCGTGTCTCCGCTGATCGTCGAGCCGTGCTCGGAGCCCTTCTGGTGTCCGACAATGCCCGCGCCGCGGAGGATCAACACAGACAGGACCGCCCCTACACAAAGCATGGATCAGCACGCCACCCGACGAGGAGCAGAGACGGGGCACATACCAAACATGGCGATCGCACAGGCCGTCCAGAACGCGTCCTTGTACGCTGAAAGCTGTGCCTCGGCAGGCGCGTTCGTCCCGTCGACGTTGATGATGACCCCGTCCTTCGCGGACACCTTCTTCAGCTCCGAGTCGTACACGATCGTCGTAATCGCCAACCCGAACGACGCGCCGAGCTGCAGGACCCACATGTCAGCCATACGCATACAATACGGAGACGCGACACGCACCTGGGTCATGGTCTGGAAGAGCGCGCCGCCGACGCTCTGCTCGTGCGGGAGGCACACCTTCGCGACGAAGAGCGTGCCCGCCGCGAACACGAAGTCCGCGCCGAACACTGAGAGGATCGCCGCGGGGAAGCCAAACGCCCAGTACGTCGCCGCAGGATTGATCAGCGCGAACAGCAGGTTCGCCACGCCCGTCAGAGCCATACCCATCGCTGCACAGTGCACCGATCAGCACGCACTCAAGATCCTTTGCCGAAGAGTACTCACTGACGAGAACCACGAGCGGCACCCGGCCCACGAACAGCGCCACGATGATGTTTGCGACGATGCCCGTGACGAACATCGGCAGGAGCCTGACCATCGTCAGCACGGGGTTCAGGCCCTGGTAGTCCTGGTAGTAGAGCTGGATCCAGAAGCAGAAGCTCATGAACCCGCCGTACTCGAGGAGCGCGAGGCAGAGCGTGACCGCGAGCTTGCCGCGCGCGCGGCCCCAAAGCGAGACGCGCATAAGCGGTGGCGGCGTCCACCACGCGAGCGAGTGCGCGTCGAGCTTGCGCTCGAGGAAGTGCTCCCAGGCGACGTAGGCGAACAGGAAGGACGCCGATGATGAGCAGGGCGATGATGTCTGCGGGTGGGCGTGTAAGGGACGTCGAGACGCGGGAATCACGGAGACTTACATCCAGTCTTCCATCCGTCTGGTGCGATGGTACCGTCGCTCAGCACGAAGACGATGAGAACGAGGCCCGCCGTGACGAGGAATGCACCAACCAATCGACGCGCCTAGATTCCGTGATCGAGTGTGGGCACACGCAATCAGTCAAAGTCATCAGATTCATCGCCGAGAAGGTCGGGACGTAATCGCATCGCCAAGGAGGGTTGGGAGCGAGCAGGGAGCGAGGATCGACCATCAGAAAGGTGGGGCGAGCGTCGCAAAAAGGAAAGTGAGCGGTTCGTCAGTACGATCGCGTCCAAAGAGCCCAAGATGCGCACTTGTCTTTCTCCGTCGACGGCTGGTCCGCGTCGAACGAGAGCATTCCGCCGAGGAAGTCGCGGCGCTGATACCTGCCATGAACCAGAACGTCGAGCGCCACGTCTTCCTGAGTTCAATTTTGATCAGCGTCTCGTCTGCAGATGGAAGGGAAAGCGGCGCACTCTGTCAGCTGCGTCAAGACACCTCCGATCGCACTGCCGATGGCTGCACCGACGGGTGCGCCTGCAGCGAAAGTCGCGAACGCGACGGAGCGTGTTTTCGAGGGCGGGAATGAATGCGCGAGGATACCGAGCTGCAGTGTGAAGGCTGTCAGTCTGCGTGCCCCCACAGAACGCAAGGGGAGACGCACCGAAGCGGGGATGGCAGCGGCGGAACCAAGACCTTGCACACCGCGCAGAACGTCGATTGTGATCTCATCTGTCAGAGCGATTAGCACCATATGGGCGATACACAAGATCGAAGAGAAGTCAAATTCATTCGCTGTCCGACAGCCGTGTCCAAACTGCGCCGCCCGTATCGAGCCCAACGCGCGAGCTCACAGAGCGTGTCATGACTCGTCAGGTACAATGCGTCGCACCAGGACTGCAGCCAAAGGAAGATGCCAATCATTTCGCTAGCCGCCTCACCCAGCCGTTCTTCCCGCTTCGCGCACGAGAGCGGCGTACTCTGGAATAGAGCGCATGTGTCAGTGCTTTCCGCCGGTCCTCTGTGACGCTGTCAAGCCGTGCCAGTCGCGCCACGGAAGACGGCGGACAGGTCAAATTTGGACTTTGAGCCGCCGCCCCGACGCTTGCACCGGGTGCCAGGCAGCCAACTCATTAGAGACGGAGAGCGCGGTGATTCGTGGGCATAAATAGCACAGGGTTTCGCCGTTATGTCCAGCGCGTGAGAAGGTCTCATGGGCCCTGGACGAGGCCAGCACTCCGGCGGTACTTCCGAAACCCGCATACAGTGATGGCTTCACACCGGGAACCCTAGGCCGAGGTCGCCTGGAAGACGAAGGCGACGGACCCACCAGACCCGTCTCCGCGATCGCACCAACAGCCTAGACTAATATCGACCTCCCCGATTAAAATTGGCACTCACTTTGCGCAAAGCCACAGCCCAAGCTCAGGACACCGAGGACAGTGATACCAGCTAGGAAGGCTTTCTTGCGGCCGTACAAATCGGCTAGTCGGCCAAAGAAGAGAAGGAGGCAGCCCTGGTTAAACAGTGAGGACCGTGGAGCAGCATCGAAGAACGCATAGACGTACAGAGCTAAGTGTGTATGCGGAGATGACCCACTGCAGCCTGTATTGCGGAATGTTGAGGTCATTACCCATCGTTGGCAACGCGATCGCGACTGCCGTGTTTAGAGACGTCTGTAAATGCGCGTAAACATGACAAAAATACGTGGAACGAGCACAATGTTCACGCACATTCAAAAGCATGGCAGTCGTGCAGGTAGCAATAAGACCGACGGTCTGCAGCCTACTGAGGGGACGAGGAGCAGGTTCGCCGTCAGGCATCCTATCCAGAGCCTCCGGGTCGCGGGGGTCTTGGAGTTGGGCCTTGCGTTCTGTCGCGTCAGGCATGGGCGTGGCCTTTGGGAACTCGGAGGATGGCAGCTGAGAACCCATGTGTCGGCGAGGGCCAGTCAGACTGAGAGCGAGCGCAAGGCGAGGGCAGCGGGGCCGGATGGACCGGAGGGGAGATATATAAAGGACGCGTCGCGCGTCGCATGGCAAAACGGTAACGGACGAAACCCTCCAGGCTCTCCCCATTTTCCAAAATCCCTCTGCGCGCCATCGCGGCCGCCGCCACCGCGCATGACCGTTTCTCCGCGGCTTCTGGGCACGTGCGCGCCCTAAACGGCAGGAGACCTGCCTGGAATGGACGACAGGCGCGATCGAATCTCAGCAATGGGCGTCTGTTACTCAGCCTAGGCGCCCGCAGTGATCGTCTTCGTTGCGCATCCGACCAACGCCCGACGCTCGCCGTCCGCCTACGCAACTTGCCCACAGCGGTGTGGCCTGATTTTAACTCTCTCGGCGCCGCTCTGTCTGATATATTCTTTCATCATCTGACATCAATGCTGTGCTCGTTCTTGTTCACTCCATGTTGCAGCCTCCACGGCGGGGTCGGCCCTCTCGCGCGTCCAATCTCACTGCTTCGAAGCAGTGAGATTGGACGCGCGAGAGGGCCGACCGCGTACTGTTGTTCCGCGCTACCGTGACGACTGTAGTGCGACGCCTGAGATGATCGCACCGCATCACACTACTTACTCATCCCAGACTGACTCGGCCAGGGTCCAGTCCAGACTCTCCTCAAACTCGGTCGCGCCGCGCAACGACGGGACTGCCGGTATGTATGTGCGTTGGTCACTCGTACTAAGCGTTCTATTCCTGACAGTGGCCTCCCCATCAGTCGATCCTCGCATCGAAGTGTCTCGCCGTCATCGTCCGTACGCCTGCGCAAGTGGTAGCGCGCTCAGCCGGGTTTCGTTCCGCGCCAGGTGAAGCCGACCTCACTGCTGACTGGGTATTAGTCTTCGCGTCACGTTCCTCCGTTCGTCCTCGTATACCATTGGTCGTTGAAGCTTGCGAGTCAGCACGTCCTCTCCGTGGTGATCCGTTCCGCTCGGCCAACGCGTGTATGTTCGTAGTCACCCACTGCGCTCTGCTACTTTCTTGTGTCCGGTAAGTAATCTGGAATGCATGGTCACCTCGAGGACCCGCCTTCACCCCTTCTGAATTGAACGTACTCCGCCTGACGTCCACCGTTTCCCGTTGAAGCTGGTACGTCCTCCCAGTCGCCTCGACCATCCAGTCGGCTGATGCTCCGCTCCACCCTTCGCCGACGCACCTGCTCCCTCACAATCAGTTTTCAGGATGGGTGTCACTTAACCTTGATACGCACGTCATCCGCACACTCAAGGCGTCACCTAGGGTCCCCATTGAACCCATCGCTCGATAGGCCTGAGAGGTTGTGGACGAGCACATCACCTCTGCCAGTGGATAACGGGCAGCCCAGGAGCAACCCACCCAATACGCCCTTCATCTAGACCACGTTGTACAGCCCCAATAGCGCGCGGGCGTGCGTCAGACCTGAGGCGCTTGCGAGCCTCAGGCGTCCCAAATGACGGCCTATGCATCCAAGTTGGCGAGTCTAATAAGGTCCCCACAGCGCGCCGACCTCTTAATCGTCGCCGACCATAAGTAAGAAGAGCGGTCATCAAGCTAGCAGATCGCGGACGAGCAGCGATCTGGAGCATGTGCCTTCATATATGCGGGCAAGATGCGCAGTACTTGATTCGCCATACTACGTGGATGACGAACTTCGGCGCGATGATAGTGTGCTAATAGCAGGCGCTTCCGACTCGGGACTCCGGGTGGGATGGATGCACGTAAGTGCGCCTACTCCTCGCACCGAATATAGGCGTACTATGAAACTCGTCTTCCTTCAAGTCCTTTCCGCTGAACCCTCTTGCAGAGATTTACGATCCGCTGACAGTCCGTCAGCTGCTTACCAGAGGATGGGGATACTGCCCAATGCTCGCCCGCTTGTCAAGGACTGTATTGTACGTTACATCGACGAACTCGCGCCTGATCCCAAACTCGGAACGATCAGGGTGTCTAGGTGCGTGTAGGTTTGCGTCATGCGTACATACACTGCATTAACTTGTAGGCGTGCAGTGCGGATTACAGCAGAGGTAGCTACGCGGGACAACATGGCAGCCCCGCCATGCTGCTATTTTCGCCTCATCAGCTGCTCGACGGATGACTGACTCGCCCAACGATTCGCACCACTCACCGCTGTCATCGGGCCACGTTAATGCGAGCATCGGCGCCAAATTTGTGCAGGCTTGACTTAGAGAATTCGGTAGCGATGTGGGGTCAGCATGCTTCAGAGACAGGATGCCTTATAAAGCCTCAATTGCTTGGATGCTTGACTTCTGTCTCATCCAGAGAATATTCTGCTGGAACCTACAGACTAACATGCCGTCGTACGCCGTCGTCGGTGCCTCTCGCGGGATCGGACTCGAGCTCGTCCGCCAGCTCGTAAGTGCACGATATCAGCGCCATCCGTACTGTTTATGTCGTCGACGCGCCGCTTGCTGACCGCAGACGTCCGCAGGCTCTCGAACCGGACAACACAGTCTTCGCCACGGCGCGCAACAAGCAGACGTCCACGCACCTGCATGCCGTCTTGCAGGCGCTTCCACACAAGAACGTGCACGTCCTAGGGGCGGACGTGACGGACCACCGCACGCTCCAGGTCTGTACGACAGTACTTCTTGATCCACAGTCATATTGACCTCATCGAAGAATGCGGCCGCAGAAGCGGCGGAAGTGGCGAACGGTTCCTTGGACGTACTCATCTACAACGCTGCCATCTTGGACCGCGAAAGCGTGCTGCGGAGTCTCCTAGATTAGTATGTTCTGCCCCAGTCGATGCCCCCCGGGCCTGGCGAGTCCTGGACACTCACATGCCCACTCTACCCCTTATGCAGTCCGAGCGAAGATAAGCTTCATGACGATTTCATCCAGTCCGTGAGTATCCACCAATCCACATTTCACACCGCCAGCCCTGACCCAACTCTCCGCAGTACGAGGTGAACGTCCTCGGCGCCATCCATGCTGTGAACGCCTTCCTTCCGTTGCTCCGCAAAGGCACGACGAAGAAGATCATCCTAGTCGGCGGCGGCGCCAGCACGCGCGAGTTCGTCCTGAAGGCACAGGTCGCCACGATGGCCGCGCTCTCCATCACCAAGGCCGCGCTGACCATGGTGGTGCTCAAGTACGCGGTGGGGCTCAAAGACGAGGGCTTCACCGTCGTCTCTGTCAACCCGGGGTGGGTGGACACGTCCGCCACCGCAGAGACGTCGGCAGGTGCGTAGTGCCTTCGCGCGCGCAACGAGTTACGACGACGAGTTTCTCTGCGCAGCGGCGTCCGCGGAGGACATGGCGAAGTTCGGCAGACTGCTGGCGAAGGTAAAAGCTGTGTACCCGCAGGTGCAGGTCCAGACTCCAGAGGCGGCAGTCCGTCAGTTCTTGGCGACTGTCAGCAGTGTCGGTCCTGCGGATACTGGGGCGTACCTCTCAGGTCCGGGCTTCGGAGACGAGACAGCCTGAGAGGGCACGCGGTGATCGCCGCGAAGCCATGGATACATGGACTTAAGTACGTAGTTTCTCGGAATGCAATGGGAAGCCTCGCTTGGCAAGCACTTGCGTGATTTGTGCTGGTACAAGAAACGTGGTGCTCGTGGCGGTCACTGTTCTGGAGGCCTCGCATCTCATCCTGTCTGCAATCGTCGGAGGCCGGGATAGGCCAGTGATGTACAAGCAAGCGACTTCGAAGATCAGGCAATGCATATGCTTCACCGTGCGCAGCTTGGTAGCGTAGTACGAGGTGCACAGTCCTTCGCGGCTCGGATTAGATGGGAACATGATGTCAATGGGACTGCGTGGTATATTTCATGCCTCCGCGATCGAGCGAGCCTTGCGCATCATGACAAGTACCATAAGCATACTGTCCCTTCAGAATTGAACAGAACAGGTATGTACGTTCGGGAATAGAATGAATGTATGTCCAGAAGAATTACTAGTAGTTATAATACTAATCACACGGGCCTCCTGAGTCCTCCGGCGCTTGAGTCGATCGCAGTGGGCGCTTACACTTGCACGATCGAAATTATCGCACGGTTGTTGCCCGGCGCCGCCTCGATTGTCGACCGCCTCCTGGGGCTCTTCGACTTGCTCCCTCACCGGCATCGCTGCTGGTCAACCTGCTCTCTCACTTAGAACTGTTCTCGTTGTAGCGGAGGAGAAGGTTTTGGCGCTATTTCTGGCTGCCAACTAGACACTGAGCGCCTTGGTAGACGACGACCTCACCTACGCACGTGGCGACCTTGAGGACGATTGCGGCACAGGGAGTCAGAGTCAGGGACCAAGCTGCTCATCCCGAGCTCGTGAGCACCAACACGTCGCGTCATATCCCAGAGAGCATCCCGCTCAGGACGCTCAGTCGTCCACACCCGGGATCCGACCTCGCCGCCTTCGCCATGAAGTTCAGGCGAGTGTGTTCCAGTTCCTCCCTCGTAGCCGCTTGACGCAGTCTCTAGCTCGTCTCTCAAGTTCAATGCCGTCCCCGAGTGGTGGGACGAATACATTGCCTACGATGCTCTCAAGAAGACAGTCTACCAGCTCGAGAAGCAGCAGGCCGGCCTCGGCGACTCGTTCTACAGCGAGCACCGCGACCTCGAGGCGAGCGAGGAGACTGCGCTCATGAGTGGGGTGACTAGTGCAGCAACAGACAGCATCTTCGTCCCACTGCTAGATCGCGAGCTCAAGAAGACATGCCTCTTCTACGACACGCAGGAGAAGGAGTTGGAGAGGAGGTTGAGCATCTGAAGAGGCTCGTCCAGGAGCAGGAGGAAGTCGGGCCGGACGCGGGACATCAGTACATGGACGCAGGCACAGACGACGACGACGAGGATGATGATGACGAGGATGACTTCGATGCCCACAGTCCGGTAGCCAGCCGTGACCCTACTCGCTCGCCCTCTCGCCCTCCAGGCAGTCGTCGACACGCACGTTCCGCGAGCTCTGCTGCCGGGGCCTCACGAGGCAGACGAAGGTATGACTCGCAGCCCACCCGACGATATAGCATTTCATCCGTAGAGGACCACGGCAATCTCGAGGCGAGCATCGCTTCGCTCAGGTCGCAGCACTATGGGCAGGCATCCGGCTCGTCCCAGATCGGGTCGCCACACTCGCCCAAGGTGACGACCAAGACGATCGCGGCCAAGGTCAAGGGCATGAAGGACAGCATCACCTCGCTCACGAGCCCGCAGACTGTTTGGACGGCGAAGAACAACTACGCGACGGATATCCAGCTGCTCTTCAAGCGGCGGATAACCAACCTTTACCTCACCGCGACATCGATGCGGTCGTACGTTGAACTGAATTACTCCGGGTTCCGTAAGATTCTCAAGAAGTATGACAAGGTGACGGACAGCGCGCTGCAGGAACACTACCTGCACGACGTCGTCGAGCAGGCGCAGCCGTTCTCGCAGGCGACCAAGGACCACCTTAACGCGACGATTACGCTCCTCGTTGAGCTCTACACGAAGTGCGTGACACACGGCGACCACCGGGCGGCACAGCGCCAGCTCCAGCTGCATCAGCGCGAGCACATCGCTTGGGAGCGCGACACGGTATGGCGGCAGATGATTGGGCATGCACGACGAGGGGGCACTGAGGACAGCCCCGCCGCGCGCGGCGGGACGCTCTGCTCGAGCCCGAGAAGGGCTTGCTGGACATGAACACGAAGGCGGGTCACCTGCGGTTGACGATCAAGCAAGTGTTTCTGTTCGTATCCGTCCTCGTGTTCGTCATCTTGCTGAACGTCAAGGTGGTGGACGGCGTCGAGGCGAGTCGATGTCTTGCGGTGTTGGTATTTGCGACGATCATGTGGGCGACGGAGGCGATCCCGCTGTTCGTGACTTCCATCTTTGTTCCCCTGCTTCTTGTAACGCTCCGCGTTATCCGGTCGCCTGACGGTGAGGAGCGACTGAGCACACCCGATGCTACCAAGTGAGTCTTTGTGTGTGTATCTCCGAGAAGTCTATTGACGATGTCTGTGTAGATACATCTTCTCCGTCATGTTCTCGCCGACGATCATGCTCCTCATCGGCGGCTTCACCATCGCATCCGCCCTGAGTAAGACTGCTATCGACCGCGTGTTGATTACGAAGGTGCTCAGTCTCGCTGGTACAAGACCCAGTATTGTCCTGCTTGCATTATGGGCGTCGCATGCTTCGCAAGCATGTGGATCAGTAACGTTGCAGCGCCTACACTATGCTTCTCCCTCATCCAGGTAAGGCCTTCTGCACGGCTGCAAAGAGGGACGTCGCACTCAAGCGCATATAGCCAATACTTAGGACACTTCCGCCCAAGTCCAAGTTTGCTCCATGTCTGATCGTGAGTTTGAACAATGATTTTCACGATTCCGTCCTCAACATGATTCTGTAGATCGGCATCGCCCTGGCGGCCAACATCGGTGGCCAAAGCTCGCCCATATCCTCCCCGCAGAACCTCATTGCGCTGCACGAGATGGACCCACAACTCGACTGGGCGAGCTGGTTCGCCGTCGCGCTGCCCGTCTCGGGCATTTCTGTTGTGCTCATCTGGTTGCTGCTCCTCGTCTCGTACCGCCCCGCTCGCTCACCAGACGGCGAGGGCGATATTGAGATCCGGCCAATACGTGCGTCGCGCGAGCCGTTCACGATGAAGCAGTGGTGGGTCACCCTCGTCTGCCTTGTCACGATCGCGCTGTGGTGCTTCGAGCACCAGATCGAGGACGCCGTTGGTGATATGGGCATTATCGCTATCATACCCATTGTAGCGTTCTTCTCGACGGGTGTGCTGAAGAAGGTGCGTCTGGATTGTCCGAGCGTCCATAGAAAGCAGCTGATTGAGCGGTGTGTGAGTTTGTAGGAGGACTTCGAGCAGTTCTTGTGGACGGTAGTATTCCTCGCGATGGGCGGCATCGCCCTGGGCAAGGGCGTTACGTCTAGTGGCCTCTTGGAAGTCATGGACGACGGCATTCGGGAAATGATCTCTGGGCTCTCGCTCTACACCGTTGTCATCGTACTTTCATGTATCGTCTTGGTAGGTGCTGCTCAGTCTTCCGACATCCGATCTAGCTGAAGTCTGCGGTCCAGGTCGTCTCGACATTCATCAGCCACACAATCGCCAGCGTTCTGCTCGTTCCCATCGCCAAGGAAGTGGGCGCGAACATGCCAGGAAACAGGCAGAATCTGCTGATCTTCTTGACCGGTCTGCTGTGTTCGACCGGAATGGGCATGCCGGTCTCCGGCTTCCCCAACCAGACGGCGTACGTCATGTCCACATCCGTCCTTAGTGTGCTCTGTGCTAACATCTACCGTCGTATGAAGTGCGAACCAGGAAGACGATATGGGCCAGTTGTACTTGACTAACATCGACTTCCTCAAGAATGGCGTGCCTGCGAGTTTCATTGCGATGATGGTAGGATAATCACTGTCTCTGCTGCAATGCTCCACTCATGCGTTATCTGAAGGTGGTCGCAACCGTCGGGTTCCTCTTGATGGAGGCCATTGGGTAAGTCTTAATCACCGAATCAAAGTATTTTCTCTGACGTCCTCCTCCAGTCTCTAACACGCATGTCGTGCCACTCATCCATGCTCTCGGCCATCATAGGCCCTGCAGCTCTCATCCATCTGGTCCGCAGATACCTGCACGCTGATATGTAGTATAATAGAGCCTCGTAGGGATTGTAGAACATTTGAGCGCAGTCTCATTACACTAACTGGATTGTAGTTGCTTCATTAGTTGCTATCCACCTCGTGCTGCACCTGTGCCTACGTACTGCGATGCAGACTGGGAGTCTAACGTGAAGTAACCGACAGTGCGACTTGTGTTGTCGACGTAGCTATGAGGTCCGTCTAGTGCGTATCATGTGCTCCGATCCGCGCGAACATCAATGCTGCTACCATACTCAGTCGTCGTAGGTTGTCAGGTACAACGGAGGAAGATGTGAGTGCAGCGAATCTGGCGGTTGCAAATGAAGCAGGCCTACCGCGAGATGGGAGGTAGCACATATATAGGTAGTCATCTGGTGAGTCGCTTTCCCCTACTACTGACGCAACGGGCGTGATTGCGGCGGCACTACACCTTGTTCAGGTTTAGGTCGTTGACGGGTTGCCATCGTACATCCACAATCGACATACCTTTGTGCGTCGAGGAGTACGCAGGAATACGAACTCTCATTATGTCTTAGCTGATTGTCGTTTTTCTCAAAAAGGTATCCTCGTACCGAATGCCGAGCTGACAACGAACACTAGCTTGAGTTCCCAATGGCTCTTCGATCCAGGTCCATAGGATTGGTCTATCATTCCTGTTATGCACTGTTCCTATCCGTGCCCTACGAAGGTTGGTACTGACTGCGTCCCCATCAACATACGGTGTAGTCAAGAATTGCCCAACAACCTCGAAGTACCGCACTGGCTCCTCGAAGAACGCTAGGTGAGAACTATTCGCGAACTGCACCCACTTCGCTTTCGGGATCCGCCAGAAGAGAGGACCGACGACGAAATCCCTCGCCTCGTCGTCGGCGCCGTTGATCACCAGCGTCTCCTGGGAGATCTTGTGCAGGTCGTCGAGCACCGACCAGCTCTTGATGGTCCCAGTGATGTAGAATCGGAAGGGCCGTTCCTGATCACAGTCAGTAATATACGATGGTAATTCAGTCTAAGTGTCACTCACATGATCGAATACACCGTAGGGTCTTCCTCTTTCGCGCGGAGTGCACCTTGTGCCAACTGGGGGATCCACCGGGACGACTTTCAACATGTGCTTGCGAAAGTAGACCTCCATCCCCGCCTTGTACTCCTCACTGTCCGTCGTGCCCTCCCTCTCGTGCTTCTTCAGTGTCTCCCGTGTATCCTTCGGCAAGCCCTCGAGCAGCTCCCTCGTCCCCTTCTGCCATAGCTCCATAGACGACGGCGTTCCCACCAGGACCATCCGCTTCAGTCCCTTGGGCTGCTTCGCGAGCACATACGACAGGGCGAGCATCCCGCCCCACGAATGGCCGCACAAGTCGAAGTTCTCCGCGATGCCGAGCTTCTCGACGAGGTTCGCCAGCTCGTCGACGAACAGCTCGACGCTCCAGAACTCCTTCGGCTTCTCGCGGAGGTGCGTGCTCTTCCCGATGCCAAGCTGGTCGTAGCATATGACGGGGATGCCGCGGGCTCTGTGCAGCTCATAGTGCGGGAGCATGGCTTCGTGTCCGAAGCCGGGTCCACCGTGCAGCGTAACAAGGGGGCGTTTGCCAGAGTTGAGGTCGCCTAGGAGGCGGTACCAGGTCTGGTAGGTCTCCCCGTTAGCCGTGAAGTCGACTGTCCCAGTAATCTCAGAGTCGGTCATAGCGCGGATATTGATGGGGTTGTTGTCTTGTCAGTCGGAGCGCACGAGTGTTTATGTACGTCAACTGAAACCTACGTAGCGACGTTGTGCGAAGCGGATTCATGGACTCGCCGGACGATAACACTGTCACACTCGAGGCCTGACTCGGAGGCCTCTGAGTCCATCCCGCTCCCGATCACGGTATATGGTCTTCGCCGGTGAGTACGAGTACTGAGTTCGGAGCTCTGCGTCGCATCACCCAAACATCGCTCCCTATAGCAGGCCCCTCCAGATCTGCCTTCATGGAGTAGAGAGGAAATATTACAAATCTAAGTGCAGAGTCACATTCCCAATCCCCTCTAGTATCCCCGAAGGTGGATGGGGAGGAGCAGCAACGACAGGGCCCAGCGCTCCGCAGCTTGAGAGCCTGAGGCCTGAGATCTTGAGATCTTGAGGCTTTACGCGCAGTTAGACACCCAGCGGACACTATTATACATCACTAGAGGCGCGACGTAAGTACAGTATGATACATCCTGGAGGAGATCAAGTTGAGCGAGTAGTGTTGGTACAACCTGTACGGAATGATGAAAAACGTGGATGCGATGCTCCAACATGAATCGGTGGATATACATAAACATCAAGACAAAATGAACGACTCAGGCTCTCCCAGGACGAAGCAGAGATCCAGAAGCTATGGACGATACGACCGCGTCCCCGCCTCATGGCCGCACTATTCACTGTCTGCTGACAAAGACACTGGGCCATGTGCCATGTGGCCAACGGTGGCTTTGTGGCTGCATCCGAACTGCGTCGCGCCACCATTTGGGCAGTCGCGCTCATCTCAGGACCATTCCTGAGCTCGAATCGCCAGCGGGTAACCTGGAGACGTCGACTGCCAGGCCCAGTACTGCGAACAACGGTACAACGTTCCACCGAAAAGGGCCTTTCCTGAGAGCAGGTATGTGGACTGCGCTACAGTTGATTTCGAACCAGACTCACGAGAACCGAGAACACAGCGTAACCGTCACACTCTGCAGGGCTACCACCGCGAATCCCTTCGCATATTCTGGTATGGCTATCCCAATTAGCATCGTACAGGATTGTACAGGATTGTACGAGCTGACAACGCATGATGTTGTACGGGTTTGGAACAGCAATACAGAAGCATGTCTTCTTCGCAGAGGGACCTCCGACCCCGAAAGACACAGCCGACTTCTGAGGCGCTTTCCAAGGCAAGTCAACTCAGTGGCTACTCGCTGGCACAACTCCAACTGACGAGGCTATCATCTAACCAAGTGTCAAGCGAACCAGGCATGCACGACCGAAGCAACCTGCGAAGAGCAAGTCAAGTCACTGCCACTCGAACTGATATCCCTCATTCTCGAGAACCTCGACTCTCCGCGCACGCTCGCTGCCGCGAGTCGTGCCTGCCGTGCTGTTCAATTCGAGGCCGAGCGTCTATTGTACCGAGAAGTCCATATGGAACGCATTCGGCACGTTCGCAGTTTGCATCAGGCTCTCACCAAGTCATCCAGACGGGCATTCTTCGTAAATGCATTACGGGTTGAAATGACTAGAGGCCTCAGTCCAGTGTTTCCGCTGGTGAACGACATACTCCCTTTGCTCACGAACCTCGCGCACCTGGAAATCAAACGATATGACTATGGCATTTACAAGATCGTGCTGCGTACACTCGCAAAGTGCACATTTAGACTCAGGTCACTCGAAAGCTGGACAGTCAAGGATAGCGACTTCGTTCAATTCCTCCGACAGCAGACTGGTCTAGAATCACTCAGCCTACACAGGCACGACTCATTTGACTGGGAGATATCACAAGAAGCCCTCCCACACCTCAAATACGTGCAGACATCTCAAAGGTTATTCGTGCAGCACATACGAGGCCCTCACGCGATCACACACCTCGATCTCTCCATGTGCGAGTTGAGCGGCCAGACGTTCGCTGAGACCTTTCGAGCTGTGCGGCACCGGCTGGTCAGTGTCAAGTGCACACGGCATGGTGAAAGGCGACTTCGAAGACCATTCTGGTCTGTCATATCGCACGTACTCGGTTGCGGGCCCATGCCCCACCTTAAGTATCTCGAGGTCATGGACCATCGATCTAGTGATTCCAGCGTACGCATTCGTTCTCCCAGCCATTCTTCTCTTCACTGACCCTCTGCGCAGTTCCGGCCATTCATGGACGGTCGTTGGCGTCTGCGTGGGTCGGCCATCGCGTTGGAAACATTTGTTTGGTCTTCAATGTATTGCCGCGAAGACTTCGACAATGCTCCCCACACTGTACGCGGCCGGCGGGCCTATCTCCGTCTTTGGGCCACGGAATTCCTGAAGAAGAACAGCGCTGTGGAGCGTTTCTTCCATGTCGATCGAACGCCGACCAATGTGCTCTGCGCGACGCTGTTCACGCTGTCGTCGGACAACAGGCTCGTGGAGGAGATGAAAGACGTGAGGGATGTACCTGTCTGGACTGATAACTGAATAGATGTATCGTGGGTGGGTCGGGGGCGCGTAGCACATTGGTGTGTAGGGCAGTCTGAAGTCATTACGTCGCTTCGCAGTCCACTTATTTGAACCAGACCAGAAGTATGTACATACGCAATTCTCACATGTGTATGTAAAGAGACGATCAACCACTGCTTTGTGTCTATGATAGCATAAGTACACTTGTAGCGATGTCTTCAAATTTGCATGAAGCCCTGGCCACGTCCGCCGGCGCCGATCGTTTTTGGGAGCGTACGAGTCCTGGATGTTGAGGTCAGTATGGTAGTGCTGCTTTCTGGCACCTCCAAGTCGTGGCTCTGTGGCCGTCACAACATCAAGACACGCTGTCTTTGTGTCAGGAAAGATATACCTGACTACGCTGTCAGTCTGAGATTCGTCGAATCGGGAGTTCGAAAGGTCACATGCTTGGCCGGTTCCGGGCGCCCGACGCGCTTTCGTTCATTAATTTGTTCGAGATCGTTCGCGTGTTTGCGACCATCCTTGTGAACGTTGTACTTAACTTGTCTCAGATGCATAGCACTCAGGTGTGTACGGTATAGTGGTCCACGTCACAAGCTCATGGGATTCGCTGTCTACACAGTCTCATGCTCTGTAGAACACACATAAGCGTAACATTCGTCGAACCATACTGTATCCGGAGTCAGCAGTATAGTAGTTCCGTCGCACTGCCCACGCCGGCGAACGGGTTCGTTCTCGCAAGCTTCATACCGCAGCATTGGATGAGCTGAAGTCATGGGCCCTAGGAACCGTGATACATAACCATGGCCCCTTCGCAGAGAGTCCCCCGATCTAGCAGGACGAAGCCGATTTTGGAGGTTCTTGCCCAGGTAAGTCAACATTGGAACCATTCCGTCCCAAATGACGAGCCGATGATCTAGCCCAGCGTCAAGCGGGTCCGGCGAACACGACCGAAGCAACCTGCAGAGGGCAGCAACGCACCAGTGAAGTCGCTGCCACTCGAACTAATAACACACATTCTTGAGGACGTCGACTCTCCGCGCACGCTCGCTAATGCAAGTCGTGCATGCCGCACCCTCCAACTCGAAGCCGAGCGTCTCTTGTATCGCAAAGTATACGTGGGGCGGGTTCCACACGTTCGCAGTCTGCACCGGGCTCTCACGAGGTCCTCAAGACGGGCGTCCTTCGTCAACGAATTCGAGGCTCATGACAATGGGCGCATGACTCCCGTGATTCTCCTGGTGATGGAGATACTCCTCATGCTCACAAGGCTTGAGCATCTGAAGCTCAACCTGCACACACAGGATTCTTGGCTTTGTAACTGGAAGATGCCACACGATGCCCTCCCACGCCTCAAATATGTGCAGACATACCACTTTTTCTTCGTGCACACCATCTGTGCCCCTCACGCAATCACACACCTTCATCTTTCTTTTAATGAGGGGGAAAACCCAGCTCTCAACGAGATTCTTCGAGTTGTGCGGCACCAGTTGATCAGCTTCAAGTGCGAACGAGCGTCTTCAATGGTCCGAACTCCCGTTTGGTCCTTGATATCGGACACACTCGATTGCGGGCTCATGCCAAAATTGAGATATCTCGAGGTAGAAGACATTAGTGATGTCAGTGTATGCATCTGTTTTCCATTGCCGTCCGCATTCACTTTGCTAATGCTCTCCACAGTTCCTGCCGTACTCAGACGTCCGTCGCGTGCAGATGGGCAGGATTACATTGCACACGGTTGTCTGGTCTGCGTTGCATGATCAGTTCGACTACATGTTCCCCGGCATCGTCGGCGTCAACTACAACGCTGCCACCAGTGACAGTCGGCTGGCCTGTATCCGTCCCTGGGTGCAGAAGATCCTGGAGAGTTACAGCTCCTTGCGCCGTTTCTTCTATGTGGAGCCAAGCGAGGGGGATAGCGGCATATGGTCGACCTACGTGTGGTTGTTCACGTTATCGTCTGATGACAGGCTTGTGGAGGAAAAGAAAGAGGCGAGGGACTTACCTGTTTGGTCGGATATCTGAAAGCATGCATGTATCACGGGTGGCCCGTGGGCGTTGTAACTATAGGAACAGCATGCATTCGCCCTGAAGTTTGTCATGACTGAAAGCCAGCATACTTTGTGGATTGATCATCGGCGAATAGTTGAGGCATTCCAGAAAGTATTGTACCGACTCTGCACCAAGCAGACAGACTAGTAGGAAACGCGGACCGAACCGTATGCTGCGATGTATCTTTGAGCGATATGCCCGGCCCTCAATACAGTCGTCCTCGTCTTGAGCTCACGCGTCTCATGTCAGGTTATTCCATCTTATTATAGATGACGAGCTCGAGACTGTCATGTAGCCTAGGGTCAAACGAATCAGGCGCGTGCGAACGAGGCAGTCTGCGAATCCGGAGCAGAGCGATGCAGTACTTGGCACAGTCAAGTATACTGGCAACCCGTGCCGAGTCCTAGACAGTCGATGAGATGCGACAACGGATGAGGCCAGTACAACGGGCGCCCGAGCACGCCCACAGCAGTGAGAGGAAGCTATAGATACAGCAGGCGGATATCACGACGGGGCGAGCACCAACAACAAAAACAGACAGTGGATGATCACTCAAGATCCGAAACACGGAGGAAAAGAAACGCGCGGAGGTGGCGGGGTCACTCGATAATAGCCGGGATGTAGAATGTCAGGATGCCATCTGCCCCCGCCATCTCGTCGATGTACACGTACAGTATGATGCAGTGGTTCTGGCATATGCCTACGGACACATGGTGCGTGAGCAATGGTGGCGCTAGGACATTCCGACAAGCACGACTCACACGCAATGGTCGTCGTCGACACGACGTGACTGCTCAGGAAGTTCTGGAGGCTTCTGAGAGACACGAGAACGCCGTACAGCGTCGTTGGGCCGCGTGCGTCCGAGGTATCCGGATCCTGCGTGCTCGGATCTTGCGCTCAAACAAACGACGGACGACACGCCCTTCGTATCCCAGTAAGACAAGAAATTCCGGAAAACGACTTACCCATTCTGGGATTAGACAGCCCGTTCCATGCCACATCTACGCGCGAGTTGTCGGTCTGGGCGCACAGCTGCAAGCACCCCGACAAGTTAGCCCGGATGCCGATCACGTCCGCCGCGAGCGGGCGCATACGCTCCACGACGGCGCGCAGCTTCGCAAGGGGCGGGAGGATTATATGGACCTTCAGATATCAAATATTCATCTCACCGACACCAATGGGGAATGCAGGCGTAGTGATGGACCTCAGGCTCAGGGCACATCGGCTCCTTGAGCCAGCCCACGTCTTGAAGTTCAGGACCACGATCCGGACGTCGTGCGTAATCCGGACGTACCGGCCCATCCGTGTCGTCGTCGCGATCTCGAACGTCAGAACCGCAACCTCGTCCTTCTTCGCAAGCCTGTTTCATCAACCAGCATGAGCAATGACAGAGCATTCAAGCAGACACTCAAGGATCACGTAACAGTACGCGGCTGCGGCCTGTCAGCCATCGAAAGGCGCAACTGTCTTACTCGGGTATCTAATGATCAACCACTGCCTTGTGTCTATGATAGCGTGAGTACACCTGTAGCGATGCGTTGAAACTTGCATGAAGCCCTGGCCACACGGTCCGCCGGCAATCGTTTTTGCAAGCGTACGAGTCCTGGATGTTGAGGTCAGTCACGGTATGGTGCTGCTTTCCGACACCTCCCAGTCGTGGCTCTGTGGCCGTCAGCATCATCATGCATCAGGCCTTCAGGCCCAGGGACACGTTGTCTTTCAAGTTGTGTTATGAGAGAGATACCTGACTCCCGGGGCGTCCACTCTCAGCGGAGATTTCATCGAATCGGGAGGACGAAAGGTCACATGGCCGGTTCCGGGCGCCTTGTTCGAGTTCGCGTGCTTGCGACCATCCTTGTGAACGTTGTACTTCAGATGCATGGCACTCAGGTGTGTACAATACAGAGGCTAGTCCACGTCACAAGCTCAAGTCATTCGCTGTACATCTATACAGTCTTATGCTCTGTAGAACACACACGAGCGTAACATTCGTCGAATCAGCAGTAGGTTTGTCGCACTGCCCACGGCGAACAGGTTCATTCTTCCAAGCTTCATACCGCAGCATTGATTGAGCTGAGGTCATGAGTTCTAGGAACCGTGATACATAACTATGGCCCCTTTGCAGAGAGTCCTCCGATCCAGCAAGACAAAGCCGGTTTTGGAGGTTCTTGCCCAGGTAAGTCAACATTGGAACCATTCCGTCCCAAATGACGAGCCGATGATCTAGCCCAGCGTCAAGCGGGTCCGGCGAACACGACCGAAGCAACCTGCAGAGGGCAGCAACGCACCAGTGAAGTCGCTGCCACTCGAACTGATAACGCACATTCTTGAGAACGTCGACTCTCCGCGCACGCTCGCTGATGCAAGTCGTGTATGCCGCACCCTCCAACTCGAAGCCGAACGTCTCTTGTATCGCAAAGTATACGTGGGGCGGGTTAAACACGTTCGCAGTCTGCACCAGGCTCTCACGAGGTCCTCAAGACGGGCGTCCTTCGTCAACGAATTCGAGGCTCATGACAATGGGCGCATGACTCCCGTGACTGCGCATGACTCCCGTGACTCCGCTGGTGATGGAAATACTCCTCATGCTCACAGGGCTTGAACATCTGAAGCTCAACCTTTGTGCCAATTACGATGAGCCCGCAGCTTATGACTCCGTTGTGCTGCTTGCGCAGTGCACATTCAAACTCAAGTCGTTCGATGGCTGGGTCACCTCTCCTAGCGACTTTGTTCACTTCCTCCAACAGCAGACCTGTCTAGAGTCACTGCACATACAGGATCATTCCTGGCTTCCTAACTGGAGCATACCACACGATGCCGTCCCACGCCTCAAATATGTCCAGACACACTCCTTTCTCTTCGCGGACGCCATCTATGCCCCCCACGCAATCACACACCTTCATCTTTCCTTCAACGATAGGAATAACCGAGATCTCAACGAGATTCTTCGAGTTGTGCGGCACCAGTTGATCAGCTTCAAGTGCGAACGAACGTCTTCATCGGTCCGAACTCCCGTTTGGTCCTTGATATCGGACACGATCAATTGCGGGCTCATGCCAAATTTGAGATATCTCGAGGTAGAAGACGTTAGTGATGCCAGTGTATGCATACGTTTTCCATTGCCATCTGCATTCACTTTGCTAATGATCTCCACAGTTCCTGCCGTACTCAGACGACGGTCTCGTGCAGATGGGCGGGGCCAACATTACGTTGGACACGGTTGTTTGGTCTGCGATGTATGATCAGGTCAAGTATATCTTCCTCAACGACAACCACAACGCCGCCACCAGCGCCAGGCGGCTTGCCTGTATCCGTCCCTGGGCGAAAAAGATCCTGGAGAGTTTCAGCTCCTTGCGCCGTTTCTTCTATGTCGAGCCAAGCGAGAGGTTTAGCGGCATATGGAGGACCCGCGTATGGTTGTTCACTTTATCGTCTGATGACAGGCTTGTGGAGGAAAAGAAAGAGGCGAAGGACTTACCTGTTTGGTCTGATATTTAGTAGCATCCATGTATCACGGGTGGCCCGTAGGTGTCGTGGCTATAGTAACAGCGGGCGCCCTGAAGCTCGTGGGCCTCATGGCTAAAAGTCAGCCATGCGTAGAGAATAAGTATACTCGGGACTCTGATCCACCATTTCAGTGTCCCTGCACTGCCTGATGCTGTTCCCAACCCTCCGAGTCGAAGCCTCTATTTTTTTTCCTGCTCCACGGTTGTCAACTGAGACTCGAATCATCTGCAATACTGCTCACCTGTTCTCGGCGGCCATGCATCCTTGGGGTTACGTGTTCCCCTCCATCGCTCTGACAATGCCAAACATAAAGTAACCGTGAGTAGTCCAACGGTGCCATTTACACCAGGGGTTTTGATCTTGATCCACTGACAGGCCATGTCATGCCTGGAATACAGGCTCGTACCCACATTGCAGAAGGAATCAGATTTAATCCATGCGGCGCACGCACGCATCACGAACATGTACTGCTAAGCATTTCCTTGCCTGTCCGCTTGTTGAACGGCGAGTGTGGATCCGGGCTGACACTTGGCGAACATGGATAGTCACAGAGGCCCTGTCAGGCTTGAGGATGAGCATTCTGAATCCGACGACAGGTTCCATAGTATGATGCATGTAACGAGTACTACTCTGACAGAGTGACACGCTCCGTCCTCAACGGCCATGTGCCAAAATCTATCTCGGACTCGTCCTTCGAGTACCCGCGGATTCCTCAATAGGATGCAGCCACCTAAGGGGGATGCATACTCAGGCTAAACAGCCTATGGTTGTACGGCACCAGTGCCGGGATACGTGTATGATATACGAAGGTGTGCGGTAGTAATGTTACATATGCAAGGGCCATCTGGTGTAGGATGTCGTAATAGGTCAAGCTGACGTAGCGATGCCTTCATCGCCCTGCGACGAAGGTCTTTCCTCTTCATACGGCTTTGAGTCCGGAGCCCACTGATCGCGAGGTGTTTCTATATCGTCAGAGTCCGAACCGTCTTCGGTCTCTGCATATGTATCCTGGAACACTGCTGAACCGGACATGGTTTGACCGTGTTCCAGGTGCTCGCCCAGATTGCCTACGACCGCGGAGGCGAATCTCAGCCCTGAAGCGCGAGAAGCGATGAAGGACGGTTCCGAGCCAGCCATGTCGTCGGTCATGTGTACCTGGCGTAGGTTGAGAAGGAAGCGCGAGATGACGATCGAGGAGAATCTAGAGCATAAAGGTTGATCAGTATGTTCGCGGGCGTGTAGTATGACCAAGAAGGACACGAACCCTGTAACAAAGTATGTGATGTCCCAGAAGACCTACCAATCAGAGTCGCTGAGCAGTTGCTGATAGTGATGAATGTGCATACGTACGTTGGTGATCTCTAAGGCCAAGTGTAAGACATTCAGGACCAGCAGCATGCTACAGGCAAAGCGTCGCATTTTCGGTATTAAGTGACTGAAAATTCGCCGGAACAGCTCACGTAAAATATATTGTCCCTGCCATTGCATGCTTCAGCGAGGGGTAATTGGAATACACTAGCGATACGCACCATCTCTCAAGAGCAGAGTTATAGTGGGTGTCCTCATGTTCATGACGCTAGCTTCTTTCTTGATCTTGTATGTGTTCCTCCAGGTCACGGCAAGGACAAACACGTCCGCTGCTATAAGGCATGCGCGAGTCAAGATGAGCACTACGATACCATATTAGTTTCTGCGGATGGTATAGAATCCAACAATGCGCGCACAACTGTCGCGAGCACGTCAATAACGAGACGTCAGTCACACAGAATATAGACCGAACACGCACGTTAGGCTAGTCTTCGCTGATAGGAGAGAAGTGAGGTCGCAGGCAGGGCCATACCACGGCACCTCGATGATGGCGTATGTCTCCCGGATGTCGCTCGCCTATAGTACTGAGGTCAAGCAGACGCAACAGATGTCACGCGGATGGAGCCTACGAGGTTTGTGCCAACTGGCACCATACTCAGGGCAAATACGAAGCTGGCGAGACGCCAATTCCGACCGCTGACAGCAAAGACGCGCAGGGCCGAGAATGCTATTGCACTGGATGAGCGGCATTATACACGGCAACACTGTGCATGGACGACGAACCTGCCCAGATCATGGACAACAGGAGCTGAAAGCTCGGCAACAGCAAGTTCACGGTTTTGCAGCTGTTTCGTTCCATCACATCAATAGAGGTCTTTACACCATTTCTCGGTGAGCTTACGCCTGGCACAGTATCAGATTCACGCATGCCGGATCAAAGGCAATACACTCACGAGTGCAGTTCCCCAGTTAGGCATTGTGAGTATCATCGCAAGCCGAGACCTGCCGTAGCGATCCGATTGAGTAGGAATAGTAATGTGGCGCCAGTCTTCTTGCGGTTCCAAATCACGTTCGATCTCTTGGGGTAGCGTGCATAAATGTTCGTAGAATATGAGTGCTGAATTCCAACCGCGTCAGGCTAGCGGTGCTCTCAGCTATTAACAACGCTCACCTGTCGTCGCAACCGCACAGTAGTTTTGTACGTAGCTGAAGGGAACCACTATAGGTCAGCGGCAAGTGTTCAGAATCAAGTGGATCACGTACCCAAGCTCAAGATTGTACACGACGTCAGCTAGTTCGGCAGCAACATCACTGTCGGACGACATAATAGAGGATAGAATGTGGGCCGAGGCTATGATACAGAGAAAGAAGCTGAAAGAGGGTAACAGAACCGCGGACCCGAGCTATAACCTTCTTGTATCCGTCCCATATGAGCAGAGCCGTAACGACAAGGGTCCGCAGAGGCTTGGCATCTCCTTCATAGAGAACGATCAATGCGCTCGCGACTAGTGGCGGGCGCGAGGCGGGTCTTGAGACATTCAGTAGTCAGAATATGGTCAGAATAAGTCATTCCACAGAGCTTCCTGACGGATCGTCGACGCCACATCGCGTAACATAGACGGCGCATCGAACACTGTCGTTGACAGCTGCTT